TTATCAGATACAGAGCAAAACCAACAACCAGCCCCAGCTTTTTCCACATTACTAACTCTTTGTCCATTCAGTTTAACATCTGCATAGATCAGCAGCTGACACTGTTTATGGATTGGAGAGAACCCACCATCCAATGTGATTTGTCTGCTATGGACCTCCTGCCAAATTAGTGACCTTGTCAAGAATTCATGTGATCCATAAGCAATTTGAAAGCAAAACCAATTTTTATAGAAGCACTAGATGCCAGGACAATTAACTAAAAAGACATGAGAGTTCAAAAGATTTACTGTGTTTTAAAATGCAAATTTTGCTTTACAGACATAGTCTAATTGATCCCTTGGGGATCTATGTTCCCTTGATCCTTCATCTAGAGCCCAATTATACCCAGCCCATTTCTGCAGAAACAGCTGGTAGGAACAGATGCTTGAAAGAAGAACAGAGATGACAAGACATTTATGAGAATTCTGCAGATGTTGAAATGTTAATCCATTTCAAGATCTGCAGAATTCTTGTAAATATCTTGTCATCTCTATGACAAGGAAATGTATGCTTGGATGATGTTTTCATGGGCTCTTTCAGTTCATATGAGTAAAGAAATGAAAGTGGTCCTGTAGTCTTATTGCAAGCTAACTACAAATCTCCTCCATTTTATCCAGTGGAGTCACACAACATTGTTTGATACTTAGGATCCAATTTACATTCTTATATATTGGACAATTGTTAGCCATAGTTAAAGAGTTCATAAAAGTTGGCAACAAAATACGAACAGTATGTTAATTGTTCACTCTTCCAGGAGAAATGACTCTAACACAAACTAAGAAAATGGGCCTAGTTCATACAAAAGACTAGATTTCCCAAGGAAGCGCCATGAATTCCTCTCTTCAGGCTCTATGCCCCCCACCTCACTTTCTAGCCATGTTTTCTCAATTGGCTCTCCCTAAAGTATCCACCACAAACTCCCCAATCCCAAATATACCCACGGTTAGAAATGGTTGGACAGCTGCATCCATTAATGGCTCATCCACACATCTGGCTTGCTGCAGTGATAACTCTACCAATCATTTGTCAAGGGCAAAGCCTTTGACCAGGGGTCCTCAAGCTTGGCAACTTTAAGACTTGTGGACCTCAGCTCCCAGAATTCTCCAGCTAGCTGGTTGGAGAATTCTGGGAGTTGAAGTCCACAAGTCTTAAAGTTGCCAAGCTTGGAGACCTCTGCCTTTGACAATTGAAGAAACTGTCAAAGGCTCCATGTGACCAAGACTTCCACATCTTTCACGCATTGTTACTTTCACCATGACAATTCTGCGTTTCTGGGGGCTGAAAAATCACAGAATAGAATTTTGAAAGAAGATGACATTCTTATAAAACCAGGCCTTAAAAAGCATGATACAATTTCCAGACCCTGGAGAAAATGAAGGTACTATTTATTTTCCAGTCCAGAACTGGCCTGAGGATGGGGAAACACTCTACCCAGGGAGCTGCTTTTTCCCTTGGAAAAGAAGATATGCAGAGAGATAGCTCCCCAGCTCCCCATGTGATACGTGGGTCCATCAGTTCAGAGGCTGCAAGCTTCCCTTTCCAGCAAAGCTGAAGACATCAATCTATCTAGTTGCAAAGAAAGGCAAAAAATAAGTAATAATGATGATGGCTTGAACTGCCAACCCAACCCCACACTCAGTCAGGGAGTAATTGGCTATTCATCTTTCCACAAGTAGATGAAAAGCATGGGAGGGAAACTGCAAATTATTGCCTTGAAGCTATTCTACATTATATGGTGTGAGGACTGCAACAGCAGGGGAAAGATGTAGGTTATGGATTCAGTGCTGTTTATATCATTGTCTCATCTCAAGGATGGGAGGAAAGCACACTGAGGAGAGACAAAAGTGTCACCCATCAAATGTGGCAGAATAAAGTCTATTTTATTCATGTGATAAGTGCAGATAAGGCCTTGATTTCTTTGGTCGCATAACCCATGTTTTACCTGGATTCACATAATATGCTAAACCAAAACCAAATAGATAAAAGACGAGGCCCTGCTCAGAACATGTTTCCATTGAAATACATACAGAATATGATGTAAAAGATGTAATACTCAAGTTTGGAGTAACTTTGCCTTCTTGTGGGAAACAGCTTTGCAAGAAAACAAAACATAATTCCTTTTGTGTTAGGAGTTCACAAGCAACCTACCAGCCATTCCTCAGGAAATCATGCAGATGAGAGTTCCCATATAAACTTTGATTTTGATATTGTGCTAAGCCATGATGTTCCTCATCTGAATAAACCACAGTTGGCTGTGTTTATATAAAATCTTACACTTTAATTCATTACACTCCACATTGCAAAGATAGAAGTTAACAAGTTGACATGACTTGCTAAGCTAGGATCTAAATAAATCAAACTTTGGCTTAACACCATTATTATCCAAACTACACTTCTATTTAGAATTAAACTATATTTCATTTTAAAAGATGCACTTCTTCAAAACTCTGGCTGCACCTGGATTTTGCTGGTGGCCTTATTACAAAATTTGTAATAAGAATAAAAAACCAGAACCATTTTTATGTAGTTTCATTTAAATTCAACAAAATATAATTCACATGATTATTCCCATATAGTTTTCTTTCAGTCAAATTAAACATTACAGCTCTTTAGCAAACTTTCTGGTTGGTTCAGCCTCTGAGGAATAAAAAACAAAGTCAGGAATCATGAGTCATGATGCCCTTTACCTTATATGTTTAAAAGATATGCTGCCTCACAAGGTGGCTGATGTTGTAAAAGTATAAGATAACAAGAAGATAAGAAGAAACCAAGCAACGCAATAGCATTTTTTAAAATGAAGTAATTCCCAATCAAAACAAAGGCAGTTGATTGAATCTGGACCTTAACAGGATCACATTCCAAAAACTACGAGTAGAAGAGGCATCAGGCAATGGTCTGGGAGATAATATTACAAAATATTCAATCATGTGTTTCTTCAGACCCAGTCAAAGTATCATCAAAACGATACTATATTTACTCCGAGCTTTTGTATAGAAAAAAAAAGGTCATTGATTGAACAAAGCCATGGTGTCCTTGTAGTTCACACATTAGGTAAACTAAAAGCAGTCAAAGTGCTGAATGGGACAACAGGATACAACAACCAGGCTAGTGACCAAGCATTGCTTGAAGTTCCCTAAAATATAGCGAGATGCAGATGGCAGCCTGAATGAATTTGTACAGGGCTTTTGTAGGCATCAGGTTTACACCTAAGATTTTAGGTCAAAGGAACAATGTCTATTTTTTTTAAAAAAAGTAATAATCTGGGAGCATTTCACTTATCTGTTAGCTAGCAAGCCAGAGATCACATTCCAAAAACTACGAGGAGCCAGAATATAAAAGTGGTTGCAGCTAAATTAAAAACGAATGTAATTGTTTTAATTTAAAATGAATTTAATAGTTATTTTAATTATTGCCCTTGCATTTAATAATTCCCTTCATCTATATTAATTTTAAATAGGTGGCTTCTTTAGGAGAGCTCTGGAATCTCAGGCAGGGCAATTTTGCTCTAGCCTTAAATAGAAATACAGGTTCTTCTTAACTAGGCAGAATAGAAAACTGCTCCTTATATTTTCAAAATATTGTGCACTTCACAGGTTTTCCTTCTTGAAAAACATGGTTGCAATAGAAGCTTTGTTCAGGTCCTTGTAAAATCTCAACGTGCAATGAAAGCTTCACTTAACAGTGATACAAGATGTGGATGGAAAACATCCAGACTGATGAAGAAAACTCTGAGTAGTTAGGAATTTTTCTTTTTCTATTTTCTTTTTGACATTTTGGTTAGTCTTAATAAGGAGGGCCTACAGACTCAAAAAATAAGTAATGGACAGATGCATTTAGAAACCCACCAACAGGACTCAAAATAACCAGAATTCAATTCTCTATTGAGCTGGGCAACAGACAGGTTTACCTTAGAAAGTCCCAAAAGTGCTTTTTCAACAGGCAACTGTCCGGTTTTCTTGCAACACTTTCACTTCTCATCCAAGAAGTGAAACATCTTCAGAGAAAAAACATAAAGTCCACTTACTTCTTGAAAAAGCACCCTTGGAACAATCATTACCTAGATGACTGAGAATCTCCTTTTGACATTTACCTTAGAAAACCATTGTCTCACAGCCCAATTTTATAAGGTTGTTGTGAAACTTAAATTATAGTTTCCACCCATGTTTACTTTGCAGGAAGGTAACACCGTATATTTATAGGTGCAGTCATGGGGGAACGGGTTTGTCAAGAGGTGCAGGGATCAGAGCAATAGGATGGAATAGATGGGACTGCACCACATATATATGGGGGTTTTCTTGCCATCTTTTCATTAAGACATTTTTTGAAAAACGTTTGTTCGGATGCTTACAATATCGAGTGTCTGAGGGTGCCGCTTTTGAGAACAGGGCAACATTTGGTAGAAATCAGATAGCGCTTCTAGTGGTCGTTCATATTTCTCGACGCCACTTAAAGGGAAAATCCACAAACATCCGAAAGGTTTGGTAAGCATCGGGGACAAAATTGATTTTTTTCCCACAAAAAAAATTCCCAAATCGGCTCACTCTTGTTAAAAAAAAAGAGAGAGAGAGAGAGACACTAAAAACCCCGTGCCAGCTTTTATTCCCGTGCAAACGTTGAGAGGATGGCAAGTTCAGAGAAACCACGAACCATGACACTGCAGGAAGAGCTTTGATTCCGAGTAAACCGGAGCCCGATCTCACCGACGTCCTGCACAGGGCAACCGGACTCAGCTCTAGATTTGCATTGGTCCCAACCATTCCCCTCCCCATTCCACCCTACCCCACCCGACCCCTGGCGAACCTCCCGAAGACAGATTTGCCGGGTTAAAGGATGACACGAGGGGTTGTGGAGGGGGGGGGGGAAGAGTCAGGTGATTCAGGGGAGTGGGAGGGAATTACGTGCCTCGGGGTCAGGCGCTGCGGTTGCTGCTGTCGCTGGCAGAGCGGAGCGGCCACGTGAGGTGAGTCAGCGTGGGGAGGAGCGGCTGAGGGCAGGGCTGTGGAGACGCGGCTCTCTGGGTGCCGGTGGGGACCGTAGATAAGGCGGGCAGAGCCGGCGGGCGAGCTGCTGAAGCCTTTGGTGACTCTGCCAGTGCTGCCTTAGGTAAGGAAGGGTTTTATTTGGACGGGAAGCCGTGATCCAAGGTTAAACGTACTTAAAATCGGGAGCGAAGTTTCTCACATTTACAGGAAAGAGAGAGGCAGGAGGCACAGCCGATTCGGTGGCTTTGCCCCCCCCTCCCCCCCAAAAAACCCTGGTGTCCCCTGGATAAGTTGGGGGGGGGATGGAGCCTCGTTGTCTTCCAGAGCCAGTCGTTGTAGCTGCTAATTTTTAAAAGGTGGCCAAGGGATGGGCCGGCTTCCCTTGGCTTTTAATTATTATTGTTGTTGTTGTTATCGTTATTATTATTATTAACATCTACTCCGCCCAAGATGAGGACTTGGTTTGCACGACACTCGCGGCTAAAAATGTCTTTGCACGAATAAAGCTATTTTCTGGGTAATTTGCTCGAACAGGAAGTTTTTTGATTTCTGCTTAAGAGGAACAATGTAATTATGAAAAGATTTCCTGCTCCTGGCAAACTGTGACGAAAAAGAGAGCCGAGTCCATTTGGTTGAACTTCAGGATGAGTATGGATCATGCAAACTCTTGGTCAGAATTTTGGAAAGAGCCTGTTTGTGTGTGTGTGTGTGAGTTTGCATAGTCTCCCACCAGTTTTGCTCCAGATCCCATTTCATGGGCCTTGGCTGTGGTTTTATGTTTGAGTGTGAGCTTTGAAGTAGCTTCCTTTATATTCAGTTTATTTCTACCATATGGATTGACTCATTGAAGGGATTTCAGTTCAGGATAACCATCCCCCCATCCTGGCCTCTTCAGATAGGAGGAAAACTTCTGTAGCCCCAAGCCAGCATAGGGATTGGGGTGTGTGGATCCCCATAGGGGAATGAATGAGGAACGAGTTCATTGCTATGTTGGACTCAAAACTGAAATCAAAACCAGCCAAGGTGGTAAGGAACTCCCCAGTGACATTTATATGCTGGTAAAGTAGCTTACATTGAATTAATTTAAAGGTGTAAGATGCCTCATTTATCCAAAAAGTTCTGGATCTTTTGGGAGTCAGAAATATAAAAGGCATCCGTTCTTCATGGTATTTCAGAAAGAGTTGATCCCCTTTCTGGGGAAGCTTTCAGACATCCTTAAACTGGCAGAAAAGTACTGGGGGGAGAATTTGCTTCCTTTCTGTTGATCCCGAATGAGACCATCCTTATTTACTATGTGTGCAGAACACATCAAACCTAGATAGACGCCATGGCCTTGCTTTCCTCTCCTCCCCTCCTATCAAGTCCCACCAGCCACACATCAGCTGACCAGTGGGGGTGGAGACCTGGATCATAGAGCAGCCAGAGGATGAGTGCTGGTCAGCTGCTGTTCAGTTTATTTCAGATTTGGTGCAGAGAGTGAGTCTGGCTTCCAAAAGTTGGACTTTCCTGCCCTAAGTAATTTAGGGTTGGATTGATTCCACCACGCCTTCTAGGGATCGCCTGACTGCTGTTGACAAAGCAGGGAAGTGTGTCAGTTATATTTGGTGTAAACGCTATTAGGGGAACAGTGGATAATATTACTTCAACACGGGAGCAACTCAAACCTTCAAGTGTGAGTTGAGGATTAGATGGGCAGTGCAGGGAAAAAAGCTGCTCAGGCAGGTTTATGTTTTGGTTAGGTGCAAGTACTAAAAGGAAAGACCTTAGTAACAGAAAGAGATTCTTCTGTTTTGCTTTTTTACAGAGACTTGCATTAGAAATGGAATTGGTGCTTTGCCATATAAACAAATTCTAATGCAACTTCCCTGAAACAGGAGGCTCAACAACAACAGGAAGACAGGCTGGATGTTTTGTAGAAACATTCTAGCATTTTCCAGTTTGTGACCCATGACTTGTTTACTTAATTGTTGGCAGAATTTTATTTTGGGAGGATTTGGAGATTATTTGGTTTTTTTGTATCAGCTGACCAATATTTTGAATTGCAGAAATTTGGTAAGGGTTTCATGACAAGATTCTGAATAAAAGACCTAGTATAGAGGCAAATATTGGGAACATTTTTCTCCCAGCAGTAAGTTTTGTGTTGGACAGAATACAGTTCTTTAAGATATTTGAGGATCCGTCAAATTATATTTGTTTTCTGCTGTGCCACCTGAAACAGATTGCCTACTTCAGAGACAGTTAAAACTTGGACCATATGTTGTACAAGTGAAGACTGATTATAGCAATACTTATAATACCCTGATGCTACAGGTAGTCCTTGATTTACAACAATTCATAGTGATCATTCAAAATTACAACAGCATTAAAAAGTGACTTGTGGCCATTTTTCATTCTTACAACCATTGCAACATCCCATGGTCACGTGATCAAAATTCAGATGATTGGCAACTGGTTCACATTTATTACCATTGCCATGTCCTGGGGATCGTGATCCCTTTTTGCTACTTTCTGACAAGCAAAGTCAATGGAGAAGCCTGATTCACTTAACAACCATGTTACTGATTTAACAACTGCAGCAATTCACTTAACAACTGTGGCAAGAAAGATTATAAAATGGGGCAAAATTCATCTCACTTAGCAACAGAAGTTTGGGGCTCAGTTGTGGTTGTAAGTTGAGGACAACCTCTATAATGCAATATTTAGACATGATAGGTCATGCAGCATACAAAGCCCTAACCTAAACAACCATTATTTGCTGAAAAAACTACAAATGTCTGTACTTGCCTTGCATGCAAAATCATGAGTCATAATTTTCCAAAGTTCACTTGACCAGGTTTGTGCAACATGTAGGCCTCAAAATATCAAGTTTGGTTTCACAGTTTGAATGAGATGTAACATTCAAAATTAGTTCTTGGTGCACCGACATAGTGTGAGTATTCTAGCTTCCTGGAATGAAAACCATTCTCATTGACTTCTAAAGGGAGGAAGGGCCATCAAATTGCTGCTGTATATTGCACAATTCTTTTTCGGATTTTGTGATTTCACCCTGGAAAGGAATAGACCTACATTTCTTTCTATCCTTAGTCACATCAAGAGTGAATGTAGCAATATTTTCTTTTATGCCTAATTATTCTTTATTTTCTGGTTGCACAAATGGTTAGCTGATACATTGGTAAGATGGGTAGCATATAAATTAAATCTATAGCAAATTGCACTTTCATCTTAGCTATGTTTTTCCCATTGGGTTGTATCCAACAGTGTTTTTTTAAGCTTGCTAGCAGTCCAAATTTCTATACTGAATCTGAACCAGGGGAAGAGAGGACAGAGCCTCTACAACCTAGCTTTTAGGATGCAGATTTAAAGCATCGGATCTTCTGCCAGTTGAAAATAGGGTGGGAGATCTTTCATTATGAACTCTTACAGTGATGTAGAATTGGAATTGGACACTTGCATGAATTCACAGCCTTCAGTGTTTTTGTGGAGTATAACATTAGATAAACACACATAGATTTATTTATTCTGTGCTGAAAACCTGGCAATTTTCTCATTCATATAGGTATGGCAGTGCTTGCACAGAGCTGGATTTGAGTGCACATAGCATTTGTCAGGAATATATCAAATCAGATAAGATATATGTTTCCTCAGAACCAACTGCCAGTCGTAGAGGGCAACTGCAAAAGCCCAGGAAAAAAAACATGACTGCTTTACTCATGTTTCAAATTTGGATCTCATTATAGGACTTATTTTGTTAACATTGCAACTGTGTAAATTATGAATCTCTCTCTTCCAGGTAGCATCTTAAGCATCCATTATCAAAAATGAGGTGCTCTGTGGTAATTCTCGGCCTGTTTGTGGTCCTTACAAGTGCCCGTAATGTTCCATACTTCCCTCCTCTCTCTCCTGACTTAGTGAACTATATCAATAAACTCAATACTACATGGAAGGTAAGTAAATTTTTGGGTAAGGTCCAACTTTGCAGGGTGGTGGGAATTGGTAGTTGGCTGTCTTCCAAGATACAGCTTGGCAAACTTAATATTAATGAACTGATTTCACTTAGAAAGACCATTTAACTTGCAGTTTGTTGATCTGGCATGAAGTCGATAAGTTGTGTCATTTTCCTTTTTGGGTGATTGTATTAACTCCCCACGCCTCACCATCCTACATTCATAGAAGAAAGATCCTAGTTGAGCTGGTACAATACAGGTGCTTGTTGAGTTGCTATTCTGTGGTCAACTTCTTGGAACAATATCTCTTGGCCTTGAAGCTTCTATTATGTTTCTATTATGGCCAATAGCCTTTTGTTAGTGAATACTGAGCAAGATTTTTAAACTGCCAGATGACCGGCAAATATCATATTTCCCCCCCTTCCCCAAAGTGCCAACTGGCAGGGGACTAGAAGATGGGCCTCCCAATAGCCCTGATCTGTGGAATATTCTCCCCTCAGAGATTAGAAGGGCCCCAACTCTGCTGGCCTTTCATAAGACTTTAAAATGGGTACCTAACCTTTGTAGACTTCAACTCCCAAAACTCCATGGGCAGCCATGTCCACAAGTCTTAAAGCTGCCAATGTGTGAATATCCCTGTTTTAAAAACTTGTCTATGTACCTGACTTTAGGGCTCTGAATATATTAAGGGCCCTTTTTTTGGTTTTACTGTTAATTATCTCAGTTACTATATATCTATTTATTTGGAATGTATTTGTTTAAATGTTTTTTATTATTTTTATAGTTTTAGAATTGTAAACTTCCCAGAATCATTGGTTATGGCCAGTTATAGAAATTGAATGAATGAAAGATTAAATAACAGATTATTCTAAAATTAAGGCAAGTCCCAAGTTAATTAACAGAAAAAATCTAAAGCAATATTTAATAAATATTTGATTTAATTTTAATATTTGGAGCCAGTTTGGTCTAGCAGGTAAGACATCAGACTAGAAACCAGGAAACTGAGTTCTAATCTCATCTTTCTTAGACATGAAAGCTGGGTTGGTGACTTTGGGCCAGTCACTCAGCCCAGCTCTCCTCACAGGTGGTTGGCATAAGAAAAATAGGGCATATTAATTAATTCACTGTCTTGTGTTATTTATTAAAAGGAAATCAATCATTAGCAGGGGCAAGGAGAGATCTAGTATTTCATCCAAATAAAGGCAGTTACTTCCTTTTACTGAAGACTGCATTTATCAGACATACATATTTTATCTCTGCCTGCGATAAAGAAAGAGTGTATGCAGATTGTGGAACCATGAGTTCATTTTTACGCATGTTTAGTTATTTTTTTAATTAGTAAAAGGTAGTTGTGCTTGGGGTGAAAGATCTAGATTATATTGTGTTTTATTGTTATTTTTACTTTTTTTTAAAGGCTGGACACAACTTTGCCAATGCTGACATGAGTTATGTGAAAAAGTTGTGTGGCACCTTCTTGCATGGCCCCAAACTGCCCGAGAGGTGGGATATTTATGTGCTCTGCTTCTAATCCTGCTGCATATGTGTTCTTGGACTCTGCAGATAATGACTATCTTGCCTTCTGCTCTCAGGAATGGTTTCCTGGTTACAGTTGTATTAAAGTTGCTACTGGACATGAAAGAAAGAGCTTAATTTAATGATAGAACAATTGTTTTTATGCAGAAAGTCTTAGCTTAATAGCTTGTTGAGACTGGGAGACACCAGTCCTGAAATTCTGAACTGTTGTTACTACTTTTATATTTAAATATTGAGGTAGATGAAGGCCAGTTTGGTGTAGTGGTTGAAGCATCACACTAGAAACTAGGAGACCTTGAGTTCTATTCCTGCCTTAGGCACAAAGCTAGTGGATAACCTTGTGTCAGTTACTCTCGGCACTAGAAAGGAGGCAATGGCAAATCAGTTCTTTCCAAGAAAACTGAAGGGATTTATCCAGGCAGTCTTCAAGTATCAGATATGATTGAACAGGGAGAAAAAATTGAGCTAGATAGATCCAGCAGTGTGGGTTAATATTAGAAAGCTTTCCTATGTTTTATTACTTAAAAATAAAAAAGCCAGGAATGTCTCACATTTTAAAAAAAGTACTTGGCATTGATATATAAACAGGCACCATTTTCAAAATTTGAATTCTATAATGATTTGTTGATAGTCTTGTTTCTTAGTAGAATGAATCAATCTGGACAGATGTAGTTCCAGATCAAAATATTAATGCATTCACAAGGGCTAAATGATGAAGTTATTAAATAGATGTCATTTATATATAGTGTGAACTCTGAATCATATTCATGCTAGTATTTTGTCAACATGCTGGAAGCAAAATTGACGCTCTGACATAAGAGATTAAATCCAAGGACTTTGACGAACAAAGACATTACTTAATTAGAGCATTGTTGTTTCTTTTCCACTCAACTTTTTCCCTGTTGTTTGAAAGGTTTGAATTTGCTGGTGATTTGGTCTTGCCACAAAACTTTGACTCAAGGCAACAATGGTCAAACTGCCCAACCATTAGGGAAATCAGAGACCAAGGCTCTTGTGGTTCCTGCTGGGTAAGTACCTTTGCCATAGGTCAGAATTCAGCAGATCTGGTAGTTCATATCCAGTTCTCCATCTTTAATAGAAGCTTCCAATTCCTCAAAAATGCACATTGGCTAAATTCATGCATAGCACTAATTTATGCGTGGCATGAACTGGTTCATTTTGACTTATGTGTAAACTCATTGATTGTGGCATGCTCAGTAAATTGCAAAGGAGAAACCATCTCTTAAGTTAACACAATCAGTGTATATATAACTCTATTTGTGTTGAAACCACCAATCCATTATGAAGCATCAGTGTACATATGCCCAAAGAAAGTCCAGAAGAGCTTTTAATGAGAAAGAGAGAATGATGTAGTAGACTGGTAGTGATAGCGGAGGCAGCGGCAGCAACAATAATTTTGCTTGGTGGTGGTTGGATGGGGTTAGGACAGTCTACAGGTCTCAACAGTGCCACTGACAGAACTTTTGGATTGTCTCTTGTAGGCTTTTGGTGCAGTTGAAGCCATGTCAGATCGGGTTTGTGTCCATACTAATGGCAAAGTGAACGTGGAAATTTCTGCTGAAGATCTGCTCTCTTGCTGCGGGTTTGAATGTGGGATGGGGTAAGTTACTTCCTACCTTGTCACTTGTCTTTTCTGTGAACAGCTTTTTTTTCCTGCTAGAAAGGCTAGCAGGAAAGGCAGAAAATACAGCGGGAACATTCACAGTATGTTAAGATCAGAAGTCTTTTTGTTCTGGAAGATTGATTTCTAGAAAGCCCTCAGACCACTCCAGAACGGCTGGAACAGTGTGGTCTGAAATTAAAAAGAGATGTCTAATGTTTTTCAGATCATTCTATTCCCAACACAGTTTGTGTTCTACATCATAGTAGCCAACAAGAAGACTACACTAATCAGGAATCAAGCTCAACTTGAAAGTTCTTTTTTTGAGGCTGCATGATACTATGAGCTCCAAGATCACCACAAACACTTGTACTTGGTGCCTGTCAAATTTCTTCCCTATTTCCTTTAAAAAAAAATCCTTTAATTATAAACATTGCAGAAAGCTGTTTTGCCTTCTAGTTTTAGCTTTAGCATTATTTTTATTTTAAGAATGCTTCTAGGCCCTATAGAAAATGTAAAAAGCGATGCCTGCTATACAGTGCTTTATGGAAAAATCATCGTAGAACAAAAAGAGCTGGCAACTAGAGATGAGAGCAGCCTATTTACTTCATGGTAAATGGGTGTTTTGTGAATGTGCCATGTCATTTCATTGGAGCCACTTTTTAAATTGCAAGTGTGATCCCAGAATTTTGAACAGGTTGCCTTTTCCATCTCTTTGGGTATCACATGGATAATCATCACTCCAAAGACTCTTCAGTCTTTCAGACTGTAACCCGCAGTTAAAATGTATTTTCCCTAAAGAGTTCTTTTTGTGATAGTTGTACATCATTTTCTTGCAGCTGTAATGGAGGTTATCCTGCAGGAGCATGGAGATACTGGACTGAAAAAGGCTTGGTGTCTGGTGGGCTTTACGACTCACATGTTGGTGAGTTTTCTTTTAAGCAAGATACCTGTGGCCAGGACTGAATGGTGAAAGTCCTTCTTGAGTGTCCATGACTTCACCTTGCAATCAGGTTGCTCACTTGGATTCCATTATTATTTCTTTCTATGCACAGCTTGGGTTTATTCAGAAGATCTTCACTAGAATAATGAGAAAGGGGAGCCTGATGACAGATGGAAGAATTGGAAGTAGCAGGCAGGCAACTTGGGGGTTGGGGTGGGAATCCCTGTGAAATACAGGAAGCCTCGAATTATGACCTCCAAAGTTACAACAGAGCCCTCTTTAGCTAGTTATGACCAGATTGTGAAGTCCTGACATTCTCTTCCCTTCCTCATGTGATATTTTGGGCATTCAGCTGTCAGCCCCCATTTACAGCTGTTTGCAGCATCTCATGGTGATGTGACTGTGATTTATGACAGTTTTGCCATGACGTGGCATTTACTTTTGGTTTCCAGCAAACTCAGCCCAGAATGAACAAACACTTTACGACTGTTACATTTGTTTTACGAGTACCACAAACAGGTCATAAAATTGGATCAGTCACATGATAACTCATTTTATGGCTGTCATGACTTAGAACTGTAGTTGACAGGCTCAGTTAGTCATAAGTTGAGGACTACCTGCATATTAGTTCACATTTTGGACTGAATGCAGAGAGCCTGGTTCAAATTCCCAATCAACCATGATGCTGACAGGTGACTTTGGGCAGATCACCAGTTCTTGCAATATATTTGCTCTCAAAGGGTTACTATGAAGATAAATGGGATATAGAAATGGAGCTCTCAAGGGAAAAGCAAGATGAGCTGTTATCTGAATTAGTGGTTTATAATATACAACTGCAGGGAACTACAGAATGAAATATTTTTGCATGTAAGTGAAATTCTGTAGCTTAGCATGATTTATTTTGATTTGAGCTTAGACTAGGGAATTAAAAGATTCTTTTCAAATGGCTTTTTATTCTAACCAATAGGCTGTAGACCATATTCTATTCCACCCTGTGAGCATCACGTCAATGGGACTCGACCCCCATGCACTGGAGAAGGTGGTAACACCCCTGAATGCATCAAAACATGTGAAGCTGGTTATTCTCCTTCATACAAGAAAGACAAACATTATGGTAATGCATATATATTAAACCGCATATTCTGCTTTATAAGAAACCCACAGGCTTTGATTTCAAAATATTGAAATGATAAAAATGTAATATTCTGGTTTAGATATAATAGATTTTCAAATGCAGTATAAGATTAGATATGTAAATTAAAAATTAGCAATGCAAACAATACAATCAGGATGAAATGCTATTATTATGGTTGGTTACACAGGTAGCCACATATTACTTATAAGAGGAAACAAATTAAATTCTCTTCTGTTGGGGGCAGAAGAGACATAGCTTTGCATATAGCCTTGCATTTGGATATTCTGGATAAAGTCTGCAGCCAGGATGTTAGACCCCTTTCCAAGCCAAGTGTTACATTTGACCTTTCAATAGCACAAGTAGGCAGGGGTAAAATTATTTGTCCTTTTGTACACTTAGAAAATAAAATTATTTGTACTAATTTTTATTTTAAGTAACTCCCCAGGTACTTAGTAATTTCCCCTTCTGTCACACTGTTACAATTCTGTAACTTTTTGAAGATCTCTGCCCAGGAATGTACTCAAGGCTTTGATGGATGGGTATTAGAGTGAAAGCTATGAAGCCATGATTGGGGGCTGTATCTGTTTATAACTAGTTAAAGTTTTATAACTGAGTTAAAGATTCCCCATTAACACCTAGGATGGTGTAGCAGAGAATGGGCAGTGTCAGAGGTGGTATTCTACCGGTTCAGCCTCGTTTGGCCGAACTGGTAGCTTCAAGGATCATCTGTGAGCGAACCGGTTCATTCCAATGATCAACTGCAGGGCCCAGCTCTATACTGACCTTCATTTCCTGGTTTTGAAGCTCAGCTGGTTCACGCGGCACAGCGGATTGCCACACACCAGCTGTTTAACAACAGAATGTAGGATTGCGGGAGAAGTTCAGTAGGAAATCCTCTGTGCGTGCACGAAGTATGTGTTTAGCACGCGCATGTGTTTGGCACATGCACAAAACATACATGCGCGCGCAAAGCATACCCACCAAGCCACGCCCATCGAACAGGTAGTAAAAAAATTGAATCCCACCACTAGCTGGCATATAAAGTTAATAAATTGCAAATCAATACTACAAAAATCACCTGTAGCAGAAAAAGTACAATGTGATGTACAGGCTGGATTCATATATGGCACTGCCAAAATTTGTAAAGCAGGGCTTCTTAAATGGAAGTTGACTTTTAGACAACCTGGATCACCTCACATAATACACCAAATTAAATTAGATAGATTATATTCTTGTTATAAAGTAATTATTTTAAACCTGTTCTCTGATTCATTGAATGATGGTTAGCATCAAATTTGAATTTTGTAGTAACATGTTTGTAATCTTTGTAATGATTAATTAATAAATAATGCATGTTAGAATACACAGTGCATGCATTGCTTCTCAGTTAAGGTTAGGAGTAACAGAGGATCATAGTAATAATAATGTGGTGAAAACCGGCCATGTTTTGAAATAAGCAATTCGAATGCTTTCTAACTTAGAGATCGCTTTCCCATTTCCTCTGGTTAGGAGTGACTTCCTATAGTGTCCCTGGCAATGAGAAAGAAATAATGGCTGAGATTTACAAAAATGGACCAGTGGAGGGAGCCTTTACCGTTTATTCTGACTTCCTCATGTACAAATCAGGTAAGTATTTTTTTTCTGTAACTTCTTAAAGGAGACATATTTTTTTAAAAGAGCCATTTTCATTTTTTAAAACTCTTGAATCGCTAAGTGAATTACATCTGTGTGATTTTGCTTTAATTCCCGTTATAATGGTTTTGGTTTAATCTTCTGATAGAACTGGTTACATATGATATTCAAAAACTTTCAGGCATAAAACTTTGCTTGAATTTAGCTTATGTTAGCAAGACTTAAAGCTTCAAAATAATTTGAGATCTCAAGTATTCCCGAAGTTGACGTTCAGAATGGGATTTGGGAAAACACCCCCGCCCCAATTTTTTTTTTTAGCATAATGGAAATATCAATGAAGGACCATACAGATTTTTCCTCAATTTAAAACCATAATTGGGACTGGAAATTTTGTTGTTATGTAAGGAAGTAAATTGTACCAAGTTTAGGACTATTTGTACAGCTATTATTAAGCAAATCACCATAGGTGAATCATGCAATTGTTAAATCTGGCTTCCTCTATTGACTTTGCTTGTCAGAAGCCAACTGAGGAGGTTGCAACTGGTGATCACATGACCCCCTGCAACCGTTGTAAATGCATGTCAGTTTCAAAGTACCCAAATTCAAATAATTTTCATCATGCGACTGCAGGGTTGCTGCAACTGGCCATAGGTGCAAGGACCAGTCATAGGTTACTTCTGATGTGAGGCCTATCAAGGCAAAGTAGAGGTAGTCTTCAACTTACAACAGTTCATTTAGTGACTATTTAAAGCAGGGGTCTCCAAACTTGACAACTTTTAAGACTTGTGGACTTCAATTCCCAGAATTCTCCAGCCAACATGGGGAATTCTGAGAGTTGAAGTTCACAAGTCTTAAAAGTTGCCAAGTTTGGAGACGTCTGCTTTAAAGTTAGAAAGGCATTGAAAAAAGTATCTTATGGCTATTTTTTGCACTTAACAATAGTTGCAACATCCCCATAGTCATGTGATCAAAATTCACACTCTTGGCAATTGACTCATATTTCTGATGATTGCAGTATCCTGTGATCTCCTTTTGCAACCTCAAAATCACTTAATAACCACGTTATTCTAACAACTGAAATGATTCACTTAACTCTGGTGATAAAGGTGGTAAAATGGGGCAAAATTCACTTAACAAATGTTTCACTTACCAACAGAATTTTTTGCTCAGTTGTGGTTGTAAGTTGAGGATTATCTGTTCTTTCTGTGAGTCTAACTCTGTTCCTCAATATGTCCCTGTTGTATTTGACTTCTTAGCAGCTGCATGAGTCCTGTTGACTCATGTTCAGGATATTCCTATGACTGTATAAAAGCTAGGACTAATAAATATAATGAAGACCAATTTGAATGCAGAACAAATTTAACAATTCCTGGATTTTTCAAGCTTAAATTGGCTCCATTTTGAAGCAGCCCATTCTGCACCTGAAATATATATTTTTGAGCTGCACCTCACCGGGTGCCAGAATCGGAAATGTAAAAAATGTCAAAAATGTCAAAAAAGTTGCCAAGCAAGAGTCTCTCACAAGCCATGATATCTATGGTTTCTTCACAAGTTTAAATCCCAAACAGAATGTTAACTGAATCTGAGCAGGAAAATAACAGGGTTTATACTTGGGAATAGAGTAACAGTTTTTCCCTTGCAGGTGTCTATCAGCATGTCTCTGGTGAACCTGTTGGTGGCCATGCAATCCGAATTCTTGGCTGGGGTGTTGACAATGGCACACCATACTGGTTGATAGCTAATTCCTGGAATACAGACTGGGGTGAAAATGGTAGGTGATCTCCCTTCCTTTGGTGGGTCAATTATCTTTCAGAGATGCCATTGCTGTAGAACTCCCAGGAGCTGTGCTTGAGCAACATCTGGAGATCTGACATGTTCCTTTTCAGTGGACATGTTGACATCATGTTCTTTGTCATGCATATCAGTACAGATAATCCTTGAGTTACAAATGTAATGGAGCCTGCCAATTAAATTCATAACTCGAGGATTTGTTTATTGGGTCACATTAAATGAACGCGATCCCTCCCTACTTTCCCCAATGCATTTGTTAACTGAATGCAGTTTGTTTGATAAGGTATCTCAGGATGGGGAAGACTATTGGGGGTGGGGTTAGTGCTGGATTAGGCCACCTGCTTCTAACCACCCAAGGCCTCCCTCCACCCACTGAGATATTGCATGCTCCATTTACAGTCCTTTGGGATTCCCATAGGTGCTCCCCCTCATCCTGCCCCACTGTGTCTCCACAGGCACTGGCCCTGCTTTGCCCAATTACACTTGTTCCTCCCCACCCCGTTTCCGATTGCTCGCTTACCGTTCAAAAATCTCCAGTGTTCCAGAACAGGTGGCAGAAAAGAGACATTTTATTCAGATGCTGGGGAAGCTGTAAGAATGCAAGATCCAAGGAAAACAGCTTCGCGAGCATGGGTAAAAGATGGATGCTTTTCTGGCATGAGGCCAGCATCCCTGCAGGCCTTGTTTAGTCCCAGTCTGGCCGGCAGTGTGGGCACCTTGTGCTTGCTGCTGGGGAGCTGGTTTGAATGAGCAGCTTCAAGAATTGGAGCATGAAGGCAGAGGTGGCCACCAATCAACCTGCAGCTTGTTTCCTTTGTCTCATCGCCCAATGAAATCCACCAACTGCAAGCCCAATGAGACAAAGGAAAGAAGCTCTACATTGATTGGCTGCCGCCTCTGCCTTCATGCTCTAGTCCCCGAAACCGCTCATTTTCTGCCAAGTGGGCCAGCCTGTTCGGGAACTTTGGAAATCTTCGAAAAGCGAGCGATTGTAAAGAGGGCGGGGAGGAGCAGGTGTAATCCAGAGGGCTAGCAAAGCAGGGCCAGTTCCTAGGGAGACCCAGCGAGGCAGGATGGGGGGTGGTAGGAATAGATAGAGGGCACGTTGCGGCGCCCCCTCAGTCTGTCATAAGGGCGAACCACCACTGTTGTGCTGCAACATATGTAACTTTGGCACCAGATCGTTAAGTACTACATGGCAAGGGGACAAGCTGATTGGGCTGGGTTTGTTTTGTTTTATTTAGTTTTGAGAAATTTTTGCAAGGTTTTTCTCTTAATATCTTCTAGGCTATTTCCGAATCCTCCGTGGGCAAGATCACTGTGGAATTGAGTCTGAGGTTGTAGCTGGAATCCCTCGCACAAGCCAGTATTGGAAGCAGCTGTGATAATCCTGCCAGCTGAATGGCACATAATCATATACTTATGAAGATAGACATGGTGGCAATCCTTTGCTCTAAGACATTTTAGCTGTCAGGATTTTTTTAAAAAGCCTTTAACATTTTTTTAAAAGAATACAATACAGGTGTCACTAGCAGGCTGTCTTTTTGTCTGAAGCATGAGGCTTTCTAATTTTTATTCAACAATTTTTCATGACTGGCAAGACAGAATGGCAAGCACGTTGAGATGAAACTGGCTGTATTAAATGAAATACCTCTAAAGGAATCAAACTACATTTCACTAACAGAAGAGCATGATTAGAAACAACCTTAACCCCTGGTTAAGATGTTGAGGATGCTGTTTGCAGTGGTTTTAATTTTAGCTTCTGCATATTGATGCATCACCCGTCAGATAAGAGTGTAGGATCATGGAATCTCAGGGTTGGATTGTTTTGAGTTTAATCCTTCGTAAACATTGTGCAAAGTGGTAAAGAGGATTCTCTCCCCTACCCCCCACTTTCTTTCTCAAGCACTCACTTTCAGGAAAAAGTAAATAGAAAGGCTAAAATATTTACTGCTTATTTACTGTATGGATGGTGAGGTTTATGCCTAAATTTCAAAGAAACTTTAAGAGGATGCCCTCATGGTAGCAGTCCTAATTCTTCTCTTCATAAATTCTCAATCTCAATATATGCTTCAATAGTGAGAAGATAACTGACCAAACTGACCAAATAGTCAAAATAGACAAAACGTCTGAATCTGTTGTAACTTTATGCATTGAACTTTAGTTCCTTGATAAATTTGGCTAGGTGGGATTATAGGATCATGAAATTTCAAGTTAAATTTAAATTAAATGGAATTTCAAATAGTTGCAGAAGCAGAAACGCACACGTACACATAAAGAGGGAACTTTTATGTGTACCTGTCATTTAAGTTTGATTCCTGAAACTGGGCATTTGCACTAACTGGTCCTGCACATATGCATGATTTATTTCATTTTTTATGATTGTAAATGATAAATGATGAGGAAACATAAGCAGCAAGCATAAACCTAAAATTGAATCTGACGCATAGGCTGTGATTGGTTTCTGGCTTCAAATTCAGTTATTGTTAACTGCAGCAGAATATTTTATAAACTTAAAAGACTTACAACCAGAATTTCATCAGTGTACTTCCAATTCTTATCTCCAGTAAAGTTTTCTACAATGTATGTGTTCATTCTTCCCCCTGGTGGACAGAAAGGATTGTATTTCTGGTCTCTTTTGTGGGGGCGTGGAGGGGGAACACATTTCAGTTCGGAAAATAGACCCAGTGCACGTTGTGCCATACCTAACTGATGAAACAGGTGACTGTTTTACACACCAATACATTTTACTGATCCTTGAGGTTCTGTATTTAAAGTCATGAGAATATGGATTGCTGTGATCAAACGTAATGGTCTTGATACAAAGCCTATATCTATATGTAGATATATATAGGATAGAGGATGGATGGATGGATGGTGTGTGTGTGTGTGTGTATCTTGTACTACAGTATCTTCACTATGTACTTGAAAGTTTGATGATTTGAAATAATAATGGCTTTATGCGCATGTTTACAAGGTTCTAATTTTGAATTCCATAGAGCCTGCAGATCCTTCCTCCCCAACCTCTAGCTCCTCTGCAATTCTGATTTCTTGACTGGGATTAGAATAATTTATATTAGTTTTTGATTTAATTTACATGCCTTAAATTGCTCTTAGGTACTTAGGTACCTACACCTAGAAATTACAATTACCTATATGTGATGTCATGGTCCTTCTTGACCATGAAAGTTCCTAGCAGCCTAGAACCCTTCTCCAAAACCCACTATGGCTCATGACTCGTCCACTTAGGGCAGAACAAGGTTTTGCCTCCCGTACTCTATTGTTTAAATATGCTTTTCTGTGGTTCACTGCTATGCTTCAAAGGGTATAAAAATAGGTAGACTGAAATATACACTGTTAAGTTTTTATTATATGCAGACTTAACCATGGTGCCTTTGTTGAAAGTAAATCATGCTACCTAGTTAAGAATTATTTGCAAAAATCCCAGTAATCCAAGCTGGCTCGTTTATTTTTTAGCCTCTTGTCAAGTTACATAGTACAAGGCCTGCAGAATCTGTTCTGAAGGTTATTCACTATAGCAAAGAACTGGCTTTTAGGTATCAACTGCTGAAAGCCACTATAATGAGTCTTCTAACCTGTACTTGTAAATCAAGAAATTTCTGTGTCCCCTTTATAGAATTAGGACCCAGGTTGCAGAGAAAACAAGTACTCCATGCTAATGCCACAGCAGATGGGTGTTCCTCAAAATGCTAAGTAGGGTTGATCTTGGTTGGCTCTTAGGTGAGATCACCTGGAAATACTGGCGCTTTAGATTACGAAGTCAACCATTTTAGATGTCAGTAGTAAACCAAGAAAACAAATGCACATGTTCCAGTGACACTAGGAGTAGAGCTCGACTTATGAAAGCTCCACATCTGGCCTCATAACTATACTTTACTTCTGTGGACATATGCTTTTCTAGATTGATTTCTTCATTTTTGAGATTTAACCTCATGAATCAAATTCTAAAGCTTTTGAGCAGATACTTTGTAAAGCACTCTCCTTGAGCTTCTTTGGGACGGTGCATGGAGACAACAGAACAGGATTACAGGCCACATGCTTGGGCAGATACCTGGGATGAATCTGCAAAGGGAAGCTGCTATGTGAAGATATTGTCCGCACCTTCCAAAATTCTCACAGCCTACTTTGCATGCTATCCCAAACTAGAACTTCTCCAAGTCTACAGAAGATTTTAAAAGTATTCTGATTCTCAGTGCTGATCTCTATTTCAGGAGTGGGCAGCTTTACTGTAGAAGAGCCCAGAGTTTTGCCCTACCTCACCGATTTATATAACTTTCCTCTCTTGGCTCCCAAAATTCCTTCCATATTACAATATAGAAACCTTTTACAAGAGGCACAATAACGTTTATGGAAAAGAAAAAATAACAAAGGCAAATATCTATCTCCAAACTTAATGTAAGGACAAATTCCTAAATTAGTGCAACTTAAGGCATAGTACAGGCTTTGGAAGTTTTTTTGAACAGAAAATGCAGTGCTCAAACTACAGCAAGAGGAGTGGTTTTATTACCACGTTTTTAGTGTCAAAATTCACAAACACTTTGAAACATCAAGAGTTAAAAAACACTCTACATCAAAAACAAATGCAGAGCAAACTGCAGAAAAGAAAACACTAAGTAAGACTCAAACAAATTTGCTGTAGCTAGTTTAGCTGGGAAAAAAGCAAATGTCTCCATGGGAAACTGTTAGAGGCTTCAAAACCAGCAGCAGATGCTTTTAACTGAAGGCTTCCAGTTCAGTCAGCTTGCAGCAAAACATTCGCAGTCCTGTTCCTTACATTCCTGGGACTCCAAAAAGTTCTCCCATTTCAAAATATTCCCCTTCCAAATGCAGCACAAGAGAGCTCCACTCTCAGTTCTCACCAGTGTGCACATACTCCTCTGCTGCTTTTGAAACAGTGTTCAGATATTGCCAGCTCAAGGCAGCTAAAATCATAATGCAGGAAAAATAGAGGGGTGAATAATGGGTCCGGGAGACCAGGGTACCACTGGGTAAGCTCATGGATTGGACAGTGTTGATGATCTGTTGAGTTTTGGCGGAGGAAGGGTCTGTGCTTGGGACCTTCTGGTAGATCTAGTGAGAAAGAGAAATCAATTAACATACCATAACTAAAGAAAGAAAATAGAAATCACAGATAAAATAGACTAATCAGTAAGTTAAAAGTATTGAACAATACATCACAGATTAATGAAACAATTCCATTTAGCTTTTCTAGTAGAAACACATTTATGGATTGTTTGACACTGCCAGTTGATGCCATCTCACAATCTAATTTGCAATACAATATTAAATCTGGACTTTTTAGATCATCATTAGAGCCCCATTTTGTGTTTCCATAGGATGAGTTTGGCATATCTGTAATTTTGCTAAAGAAAAGGAAAGGAACTTGCACTGCTAGATAAAGAACAGTTGTTAAACAAGTCTGTACACAGGGCTATATGAATTTGTGGTATTCTAATTTTTTTTGCCAAGCCAAAGCTTTAGCTATGTTTCTATGAAATAGTCACGCCTCTCTCTCCTCCTCACCAACAATTCCCATGAGAAACCAGCCACCTTTTCCCATTCCTTTCTTTTTTCTCTTTCACTCCTTATTAGCTAGTGAAAAATATAAGGGACACTTGGAAGGCCAAATAGCATGGAGGAGATTCATGGGAGAGAGGATTTCATTATACCAATTCAGTCCTTTCTGCTCCATGACTTTTCCAAATCCCATGTACTCTCCATGTTGGAAATAGTATATATTTTAGTTTACTTTTTTTTTTAAGGAATTCATAGCAGCAAATATATGGAATAATCCAAAAGATGGTCCTTGCTTAATGACTACTTGTCAGCAACATTATTCAATCATATAATGGTGCTAAACGAATGGTGGTTCTGAGCCGTCCTCATACTTATGTTGGTGGCAGAGCCCCCTGCAGTCACATAATCAGAATTTTCAACCTTTGCCAGCTTCTTACAAGCAACGTCAGTGAGGAAGCTGGCAAGAGGTCACAATAATGGTGACAACTCCTTAATAATCTGCAACGATTTTAATGACAGCAACTGTAAATGCTGAATTTTCATTTACAATCATGTTGAGTTATCTTCCCCTAGATTCAGTCTTAGCATGTTATTGAAGCAAAGCCATCTCCTGAATATCAAAGCTAGACCATCCTAGACCAAATCCAACCTCCTAAGCTTTACTGTGCACTTTTATAGAGTTTCAAAGTAAAAAAGCAGCTGTTGGTGATTATCCATTCTAACTCAACCTTCCCCACTAAAAGGCATCAGGAACTGAATAACGAGGTTCTCCCAACTCACCTCTTCCATATACTGGTACATGATGGTTTTAACAGCCTGTATGTTAGTAGCATCCATCATCAATGTGACTGCTTGTCCCTTTCGAATCTTCACCACACCTTTGAAGATCTGTTGGTTGTTGTAGCAGGCTGCCAAAGTGGCTATAGCCATCACCTAGCAGGGAAGAAGAGATAAAGGGCTTATGATCAAGAGCAGGTGTTTACGTAGTTGTGCACAATCAGGCTCCAAAGAAAAAAACAGAACTTTTTTTTAAAAAAGATAATTTATGAAGATTAATATGCTGATTAGTTTTATAAAATAGTCTCGAAAGTTACATGTGTGAGGACAGCTACATAAATGTGATAAACATTTTTCCCTTCTGTTCAGTTGTGTCCAATTATTGGACATTGCCTGGACAAATCCATGCAATTTTATTGGCAAAGTTTTTCAGAAGTGGTTGCCACTGCCTCCTTTACAGGGTTGAGGAAAAATGACTGATTCAAGGTCATTCAGCTGGCTTTTTGGCTAAGGTGGGAGTAGAACTCAGTCTTCTAGCCTGATGCCTCAACCATTACAACAAACTGGCTCTCTTTATACATACATATAAACATACAGTATATACACCCAATATTCATGCCCAAAGAACAGTGAATGAATAATAAATAGCAAGATGTTCAACAACAACAACAGAATGAATGCTATGTTCATGGACAGATTCCTTAGGGCCTAGTGGACAAGCATCATCATGAAGTACCTCAAGAGGAATGCAGCTTCTTATAAGGTAACAAACCAGAACCCCATAAAAGTCTTTGTGTTTAAGGTTTTGATACCACTTTCTAAGTAAGACAAAATCAAGTGTTTTTCAGCATGTTATAGGAGTCTAGCCACTTTATTAGCAAGTTACATGAAACAAGTGTTATACTATGCCATAAGTACAGGTAGGCCTAAAAGGTTTTATATACACCGTAACTTGTTTTGTTAACTTAGGTTCACAAAGGCAGTCCCAGCAATAGTGAAAAGCAGAAAAGACTACATGTGCCATACAAAAATGTATACATAATGCATTTTTCTACCCTTTTTCATTTTGTTAGACTCAATATGACAAATGAATAACCCAATGGGTTTTTTTTTTGTCATACCGCTATGACACTGGGTTCCCATCACATGATGAATCATGGCATCCAAGTCTATTTTAAAATAGCCTAATTAGTCTTCTAATCCACTGATGAATAAGAAGCTCATTATCTACTTCATGTATGCTTAGCAGAGTAAAATTATTTACTGCCTTTTTCCAGGATATTTTCTAGCCTACAACCCTAACCTTTCTAGCAATCTCTCAACCAAAATACTTTAACTAAATTCAAAGCTTTTTAAGATCAACCAAATTAGGCTTGATCTGGAATTCTAAGAGGCATTGTTGATTTGGAACTCATTCATTTAAAAATCAGATTGGTCCCCTTTTTTATTGATGATCCAGAAGATAGTTAAGACAGATCTCTTCCAAAAGGCATTTAGTAATTAACTTTGCTATTACTCCTACTCCTAATTATTATTTTATTTACTGTGAATATTTTAACTGAGTTTTTGAACTATGGTTGCTTTGTTAATCGTGAACTGCCAGGAATCCTTGATAGATTTGGCAGGATGTAAATGTAATAAGTAAACAAAAGTAAAAAGACAATTCAATTTACCTGTGGAATAGCACAGAAATTGAACACACTTTGATTCTTCAAGCGGGACAAATATGTCAAGACATCAGGAACATGATATAGGGCATTGGTAATGAGCTCATTCATACACTGGACGGCTTTGTCAATGTTTTCCGGCTTAGCCAGATCTGACAGCTTCTTCACATACTTGCTCCAAACCTAGGAACACCAAGAGGTCAAGGTTGTTGAGGCCACTTTTGCAGAATTTCAAAATTACTGAGCACCTGAGATTTTCTGGTTTTCACAAACTAATTTTGCAGGGATTACGCTTATTGGACATGTCTGGGGTGAGATTCTACCGGTTCAGCCCGGTTCAGGTGACCTGGTATCTCCTAAGATCAGCTGTGAGGGAACCAGTTCACTCCGACAATCAGCTGTTGTCTGTGCTTTATTTCTGGGTTTTCCAGCTCAGTTGATTTGCACAGCAGTCAGCTGTTTTACACACATGGCTTGCAGCAGAAGATGAGTTACAAATGCTGTCTGCGCGCACAAAGCAAACCGGTTGTTACACTGTTTGAATCCCACCCCTAAACATGTCTTGTCCTGAAGGCTCTTTGAGCAAATCACTGATGCCTCCAAATAACAATGAAGATTTCCAACAACGACCCACCATTATGTAAAGTACAAATTAGATCAGAGCAAAACATAATTATCCTTGTCATGTCTAATTAGCTATTCCACTCAACTAAGCTCAAAAAGCTATGCTTAATCCAAGAGCAGTTACTAAATCTTTTATTTACCCCCCAGAAGCTTGCATGCTCTAAGTCAGGGATCCCCAATCTCTAGTCTGCAGCCTATTGGGAACCTGGCCATGCAAGTGGCGGACGAGTGCACAAAGCTGCATTTGTGCAAGCAGTGTGGGTTCATGCAGAATCATCTTTCTCCACCCCTGCCAGTTCGCGGAACCAGAAACATTGGGGACCGCTGCTCTAAGTCAATATTTCACAATTTCATCAACTTTGAAACGTGTGGACTTTTACACTCCAGCTGGCTGGGGAATTCTAGAAGTTGAAATCCACACATCTTAAAGTTGTTGAGATTAGGGAACACTGTTTCAAGTTATCTTCCCACAGTAAAAGTGAATAATAAGTAAGCAGTCCTTTCTTTATAATTTAAAATAAGAACGCCAATTCATATTTTTCCCCACTTGTTTCTGTATGCCAGACTGCTCATTATTTTTCTTCTCTACTTTTATCTTTAAAATATAGATAGTCCTCAACTTCTGACCACAATTGGGACCGTAATCTTGATCACAAAGCAGCTGTTAAACAAGATGTCCAAGTGACCACTTAGTTCAGCAACTGCAATCTTGGCTCTTCCTTTTATGGTCATCAAGTGATTCCATGGGAGTACCTCAAGGTTCTGGGAGGCTCACAGAAATTAGGCTATTGCATAGAAATTTGCTATGGGCCAGGAGGCCTTAACTGGCCACAAGGTCCATTAGTGCATGGAAACCTACCAGGGGCTTGGAGGCACAGACCTTCTCCTCACCCCACTATGTGTGGGAAAGATTGTTCACTAGCTTTCTAGTTATCCCTCTCATTGATTGGACCCAGGTCTGGGGGGGGGGGGGGGGAGGAGAGGACTTCCAGCCATGGGGGACAGGGAGAAGCAGCCATTAAGAAGGCCAAGACTCCAGGACCAAGGCAGCTTAGCAAGCATTGGTGGCTTAAGTGAAACAGCTGAGATGAGGGGGAGAAATAAGTGCATGTGTATGGGTAGCAGCCATAATTAGTAACCAAAACTGCAGTAACAATAGTTATAAAGAGAGACAGGATATTTCTCTGCTGCAATTAGCAGTAGGGAAGCATTAGCTCTGATATCAAGAGACAGAATTCAATCTTACTCCACCAGTCTTAGGGACAATGGGAATATCTTACATGTGAACGAAACCACCTTATATGTAGCTATATGCAGCCTCAAATCCACAAGCGATCCCTGGGCAAGAAAAGTTACCCAGGTATTCTACATCAAGTAAACAGCATAAATCAGGATGGAATCTAGTAGCTTTTGCATGCTGTACACATTCATACCAGTGAGTTAAGACCTCTTCCTCACATCATACTTTTTTCTTTTACCTCTTTGGGCCAGAATTCTCTGCCCACCAGTTGGTCCTCCAGATAGTCCCTAATGATGTTGGTTTTCTGCAGAAAGAGTCCCATGGAGTTGGCCAATTCTACGTCGTGACCGACAACAGGATCTTCTAATTCTGAGGCAGAGAAGAGCCGGGAGAGGCCAATTCCCACCAGGCCAGCAACATAGTGGCAATACTATAGGTTGGAACATTCAGAGCTTTATTAAGATATTTTTTTAAAAATCTAGTTCAATCCATAAAGGCTGCAGCTACCAAACTTTACAATTTCCTTCTTGAATTACTTTTGCTAAAGTAATATATGTTTTGGAGTAAGTTTAAGAGCCAAAAGTTCAGCCTTTAAAACCCCAGAACCTTGCCAATACAATTCTTAGGGCTGTTCATTTTAAAAGGATGTGGTCATGATATGTCAACTCAAAGTTTGCAACAGATCTTGGGTGATGAAAGTTCTTTATTCCAGCCTTATGGTAATGAGAGAACTAAATCCATATCGAAGACCAATTCCAGTTCCAAGACACCTAAAATGCAGGGATCATCTCCTTTGAGCTAAAGAAACATCCCCCAACATCAGTCTTAGTACCACTTTTCCCTGGACCTATAGAAGCTATCCACTTGTATTGTTTCTCCTTAAATATTCTGTTCCCATGCATTATACATTAAAAGCCTCACTGAATAGAAGACTTTGATGGTCTCTGTATTGTAAAGTTAAAGGTTATAGCTAGTATACAGGTTTGCTAGGATACTCTCCCTCCCAACTCACTCACCTTGTCCCACTCTTTGTTAGAATTCATCTTCTTTTCCAAAAACTCTGCCATACCAAGACCCATCTTGTGACAAATGTCAGCAATCACATCTTGATAGACTTTTGCCAAATTCCGGAACTCTAGGGAAATCTAAAGGCAAGAAAAGAAATGGGATCATAAAAAATGATACATGTGTCTCTTCCTGCCTCCCCCCCCCCAAAAAAAAAAAAATTCTGAATTGATAAGGAGCTCAAAAATGCTAGCTCATTTTAGGTTCCATGCACGTAAAGTTAAAAATATTTCAGCAGTCCTTTAATCTTGAATTTACAACAATCAAATATCATATATATTTCCTCTGAGCAATATAGGAAATATTCTTAGAAAAGAGATACTTGGGCAAGTTATTTCTATCCAGGAGGACTAAAAGCAATGCACTCAAGTTTAAAGCAGATCATACTACTTCCAAAGAAATAATGGCAACATGGTTTTTCTTACTTATATAATTAGTTCTGCAAACTTAATTAGCAAGGATACATAACTATTTGAAAGCTATTCCTTAATTGTTACTACTTCCTTTCCTCTTGAGCGCAACGCCTACAAAAGACTCCAATTATTTAAAAAGAATACTTGTTTTGGAAATTAAATCAGTGTCAGAGTTTAATTTACATTACAAATTACATTACACAGCATGTTTTTGACAATGTGCCATGAAAGTAAGTAACTGGCAACATCAGGCTAAAAACCCATCTAGTGACCAGCCACAAATATTCAGGAAGGTCCTAAGTATAAACATGTTCTTCAACTGTTGCCTCCTAATGTTTACCAGGGATTCTGAGGCTGGCAATAACCATTAGACCAGGGCATCAAACTCATGGCCCGCAGGCCGGAAGCATTGCACGCTGGCCATGCCCCGTTTAGCGAAGGGCAAAAAAGTCACAATACATCACGCTGACGATGCCATGACAACATGAGAGTGTCTTGTAAATTCTTATGCATAATTCTTTTAAAATCATTTTTCAGGCATCATAGTAATGATAACACAGAAATATACAGACATGTTTTGGGAAAAACCTTAAGTTTAATTTGTATTGTGCCTATCCAATGCATTTTGTTGTTTTCTACCAAAATTTAGCATGAAATGAAAAGGAAGCACTTGTAATTCGCCATAAAATTTCTCAGCAGAATCCTAAACAACCCTGATAGCCACTAAAACTACCTGGGAGGCCACTTACTACTAATTATCAACTCTGCTTCACATTACACATCCTCAATGCATGTGAACTCAAAGGAAAAACTTATTGAATCTAGATACTCAAGTTATGTATGTGAAGTAAGGGGTTGCACCAGTTGCAATCCTTCAAGTAAGTGCACCAGTTTCTCACACATCTAATATAGTACCATAAAAAGCAAATGTACATATAAAGGCAACTATATAGTGGACAGTCCTGATTTCAATTTTTTTGAAATGGTACCTCTAAAGTTCCAGGACAGGAAACTATCACACTTCCAAACAGATGCTAATATATCTGATTTTAAGAGACTGATCTCTCTCGCACTTACTGAAGTCAGGGGAAAAGAGCCTTAGAGCAGGGATATTTTAACTGCATAAATGCATGAGAGGCACCACTCACAGTTGGAAAGTCTTCCAGCACCTGTCTGTCCTTCTCTCTGCTGTCCATAAATTTCCAGTCTGGCTGATATAAGTAGGAGTGAAAATTGTGTAACATGGGGACCTTAGCTTCAAGACTGATAGTCATGTCATCTTCCACAGTATCCAGAGCTCGGAGAACCAAATAGAAGATGCACACTGCATGGCTACAGAGAAAAGGAAAAAGATTGTTTCTGATTTATATGCCAGAGGAAAGAGAAAAATAATTTGTTCTGTCCAACATTAATCAGTATAAAACTCCATGTCTCATTTGTTCATAGAAAAAAGCACAACATACCTGTACGGAATGAACAGCACCATTTCCCACTTAAGTCTGATGCAATTCAAAACAACTGCATTCTGTTTAAAGCCATATATTGAGCATTTAACCTGAAGCAACAGAACAGTCTGTGATAGCTGAATCTTTTTTTTCCAGGCACCCACAAAGGATTTATAATAAGCATATGTTCTTCCAGGTCAAAATACTAGATATGAAAGAAAACAAAGGAAACAACCTGCTAGGATTTGGCTCTGATCCTATTAACTGCCGACTTCAGCTATTGTCAACTGCTAATAGATTTTACGCAAAAAGAATTGTGGTCTCTGCAATGAAACCTTTCTTTAAAGTTCCATGGATCATATCATAAACTACAATAAATATAATGGTAGTAGATTGCATATACTCTATAATATTATAATAAAATATGAACATCTCAGTAATAATTAACCCTGAATTTGCTGATTTTTATTTAAATATTCCCAACTTAAAAGAATTGGGAAAGGGTGGATTGTAGTCTATATTTACTACTTTTTGAACACCCAAAGGTTGCAGTTGATGCAAATCATGGGATGTTCCCAAAATTCTAAAAGGCTTTTTCTTATGTGTAGGGTAAGGAAAGAGATGACAAACGAATTAATTTTACAATCTCCGGTAGTGGGAAAGCTTAAAGTCAATGGATAATAATTGCAGCCAGAGCCTAACTTCACTGGATGCCTATAACGTATGTTTTTCACAAGAGCTCTACCGTCTCCTGTCAGCAAAAACAAAAACAGGTACAAATCAGAATAGCCTAACTTTGTAAAAAGTAGATGTGTTTCATTTTTTGCTATCAGCAAATCACAACGGATTTCTTTTTCCTCCTCCGCGGGGAATTATGACCGATGAAGATCCTTAGTATTGGGTTGGCGAATACTGCCCAAAAGTCACTCCGTTATTCCCTTTTCCCAGCAAGTAAATAAGAATCACACACACAACAAAAACCCTCACCGTAACTCCCCGTCCAGCGCTTGGATGACGGCGGCGAAGCTCCGACTGGTTTGGTTCAAGTACTTGTAACACACCCGGAGGCTATCGCTGAGCGAGTCCTGCAAAAGGAGCAGAGGCGGAGGCGCAGCCTGAGAGAACAGAAAGCGAGGCCGCGAGCGTTGCGGGAGACGAGAGGTACCGCCGCAGGTCCGCAACCGGCCGCCGCCAGTCAGGCAGGAACTCGACCCACCGCCGCCGCCTGCACGCGGTGGGGAAAAGGCCAAGGTTCGCTTGAAAAGGGACGTGGCGGCTTTGGAGCTGCAGCTGGCCATGGAAAAGGCATACAAGGCCGGAGAGGCACACGGCTAGCGGGCCACCCCTCACAGGGGCCCTCGTGCCTGGGGGCTACGGAGCATCGAAGTAGTTCCGGGACGCCCCCGAAGTTAGACACGCCCCCCCGGCCCCCCTTTCAGATTCGTAATGTTTTTCTTCTCCTTTACGGTACAGGCCCCGCCCATCCGGCAGGGTGAAAGGGGACGTGCACGGAGCGCCCCGCCTTCCAGACCGAAGGAACGAGTGCTGTTATCTGCACATCGGGAGGCGAGGCTCGAAGTGCGCTTTTATCCAACCTTTCTTTCGGGGCAAATCCCGCTAAATTCAAAGCGCCTCCGCGCCGGGGAAACAAGCCTTACCACCTGCCGAGTTCGCATCACATATAGGCTTATTTAATGCCATAATACTTTTTTATTGAATAAATCCAACTAGCAAGATTTTTTTAATTTAATCCTAAAGCATGGTTTGCAAATCACATAGCCAGCCCTTATGATGTTGGAATTCCACATCGTGCTAAACCATAATATGCTTTGTTCACATTACTTGGGGTACGGTGTGAAGCTAGCCGTGGTGGGCTTTCCAATCATGAATTGAAACAAACCTATCTTAGAAGAGTTTGTGAACCGTGCCATCCAAAATGGCAAAGGACTGATCAGCACCATCCTCCTTGAAGAAATAATTGCTTGTAAAGGTGAAAATTAGGGCATGCAAGTAATAGTTTAAAAGGCTGTCCTATGCAAGGGGATGAGTTATTTTCTGCTGAAACTTACAACAATCAAATGCAATGTGTTGAAATTAAAGGATATTACCACCGACTTTGGGAGGAATTTTCAGAACACCTGATGGTTGGAATGGTCTACCTGAACTAGTGAAAGTCTCTCCTCTCCCTTGATGGGAATTTTCAAATCAGGTCTGGATAGTCACCTAATGGGATAGCTCAGTACATCCCCTATACTGAACAGAGTTGTACTGAAAAGCCTATTGCTCCCAACTCATACTCTTTGATTTTATGCTAGCACCCAAACAGCCGCTGGGTCCCCTTATCCAAGTAGTGAAGGGATTGCCATAACATGCTTTAACAAAGCCAAGAAAATGCATTTCTACAACACATTAAGCTTGGTTAACCTTGACCTTGATTAGCTTTGCTGTGATCAGCAAATTGTAAATTAAGTAACTCAAAAAAATTAGTAAGAAGTGCACTGTGTGAACATGGCTTTTGAAGTGAACATTTTATTGTTATCTTCCTATTTCCTTGGCCACTTTTTCCTAGCGGCAGTATAATTGCTGAATCTGAAAACAAACAAAACCACTAACTTTCCTCCAATACTGACATAAGAGAATATTTGTAACTCAGGGTTGAATTAAAGGTGCCTTTGGTGGTCTCTGAGGTGATTATTTTCTTGCAGATGTTTCATTTCTAAAAATGATAAATGGCATACATTGTAATCCAAGAAACTATAATGTATGCTATAATTGCTTTGCAAACCTAAAGCTTGTTATTGTTTTAGTTTCCCCATTCATCTGGGGAGGAAAATTCAGTAAACAATTATCAGTCAATACTTTATCAGGATCCATCCTCTAATTTTCAGTAATGTGTCATTTCCTTAGTTCTAACTAGAGAAATACATAATAGACCAATAACAGCAGCCACCACTAATAGAGATTTAATCAACTTTCATTTTAAAAAACTACATTTATTTCTTCTTCTGAATATCATCATTGGGAGCATGGATGAATTGGACAAGAAGAATTAGATCCCATTTTCTTCTACGACTTTTATTCTTGCTTCCTTTTAGCTACTTTTTAAAAGCAAAAATAAAAATTACACTGGGAACCAAGCTTCAATATCATGTAATTTTATGGAAGCAGATACACCCACACAGAGGGTAAACAAAGCTGTCTAGCATTTGTTTCCCATAAAATATGTTTTCAAAGATATTGACAAGCAAATGAACTTTTGAAAAGAACAATTCAAGAATACTAAAAGCTAGTCATATCACCTAATAAATACTGAATGCTATACATTAATTCTCCAGCTGCCTTATCCATAAAAAAAGAAACAAAAACTCTTGTTCTTGTGCCTCAGCAGAAAAAAAAACTAACCAAAGGAATAAAATAAAAAGCCCAACTCACTTGATCCATTTTGGGCATTACTGTCTTGTATCCACCCATTTTAAATTTCACCAGATTGTAGATCTCCTCTGGATGACCCAGCCATCTCTTTAGCAGCTCCATTGACTTCTGCGTTGACCTGGCAAGGTAGGGACGGTGTTGCTGTTGAAGACTTTCAAGAGCAGAAGATTCCTTCTCTCCTTCTTCTGCCCCTTTTTTTCTAACTGTGCCACCTGCCTTTTGCTTCCTACCCCTCGCCCCCACTTCTAATTTCCGACGTCAATTTTTCCTCTCTCTCTCTCCATTTGGCTGCTCCTGTTTTTCTTTTCCCCCGCCTAGGGGTTTCCAGAAGCGAGGTAATTCCCCCCTCCCTCCACTACACGCCGCCTGCAATTCTATTTCACTTCTCCGACCGAGGGGAGGTTCAACCCAAAGCTATCTTCAGACCCACACCGGTTACGGTATGTTACTTCTCTGCTAGCGTTAGTCCCCTAGCAGCAACCAATCAGCAGGCAGCACCTCCGATTCGGTAGGTTGATAGGAAGCTCGGTAGCCGCGCGGTCCTCGCACCAGGAAGACGGCAGCCAATTAAACCATTTCGGGCTGGTGTGGCGATCCGTCGCTATCTCTTGGTTGGTCAATGCTCGGCCATAGGCGGCCTAAAATGGCAGGATTGATTTCGAAGTCGCCGGGTTTCTTAAAGGAGCCAGGCAATGTTTTTCTTTGTGCAAAGATGTCGTCCTACAAATCCGGTTTGGTTAGTAATAGCAGTTATTACTCAAGGTGGTAAGATAAATCTCAAGGTTTTCAGTCCAGATTTAGATAGTAAATGGAACAAGAATGTCTAGATGTACAAAGAGCCTTCAATATGAACTCCAGAGTTCATATTGCAAACATCAAATGGAAAATCAGGTCATGCCACAAAGGACTTTTTTTTCTGTATAGGGGTTTTTGTGTGTGTGTGTGGAAAGATCTCAAAATGTGGGTGTCTACTGTCTCCTCTGACTACTGAAGAATTTAGACCTCTGTCCACTGAAGAATTTGTATAATGGGCAGAAAGAAGTGGTAGAATGGAATCTGGAGAAATTAAGTGATTCAACAGTAGATTGAAATTGATTATTTGCCATCAGATCAGTTTGGACTCATAGCAGCTGCCTAGATTTTATCTATGATGAAAGATTGATTACCGCCACATCATTTATTTAACTTATAACTGGAATATATAATGAGAAATGTTAGACTAGAAGAGTGGAAATTACAATTACTGGGAAAAATAGCAATCACCATAAATGTTCTGATGACACTTGGATGAAGGGAAAACTTAAGGAATAGATCACTAGAACATTGTAAGTATACTAAGGGAATGCAAAAACTGGCTTGCTGCTCCATATTCAAATAATTCCTGTGTCAAAAGGCAATGCCAATTCAATGGAAGTAGATGAAAAAGTTAAAATACCATCAGACTCTTATGTTTCTGGAATTAGCTAGTGGCTGAATAATGAAAAAAGTATTAAATTCTATAGAAATCTCAAGCCATTTGTTTTAATTAAGGCTTGTTATTCAATTATCAGTTATCATTAATCATTTACAAACATGCAATATTATGATTTAGCATAAAATAAACCCATCTACTCATCCATTCCCTTACTTGTACATTTGCTACTTGAGGTCCCCAACTTGGTGTCCTCCAAATCAATTGGCCCATAATTTTCAGCAAGTTTGGTGTTTGAGGTTCATAGTGTTAATGAAAAAAACTGAAGGAATCCAGATTTTGACAGATGCTTTGTTTTGACACTCTTCCCATGACCAGAATGATGGGCTCACCCTCATATACAAGCAGACTCAGCCATTGATCCACTTTTTTAAAAAAGTAATTGAAATTTAATATACTTTATCACTTGGCAATTTACTGTCTATTTATTTTACAAACATTACTTAGAAGCTGTTTTTTTTGCCATGGTTACAGTTGCTTATAGGTACTTGATTTCACTGTATGAGCATTTATAAATGTAGAGAATTTGAGCTGTAGCAAATATATTTGAGAAACAAAACACTGAACAAATGTGAATATTGCAGCCCAAATTATTTATGTATTTATTACTTTCTATAACTATCCGTCTTAATCCAACTGACTCTCTGAAAACCTGATTTCACAGACCTTGCATTCATTGGATTTTGAATGACAGGAACAAAACTTTACTTTGGATTTTACATCCAAATGACTTTGGGTATCCTTTGGATTTGGATTTTATACCATTTCCAAAACTATCTGATATCTGGCAGAATATATGTCAGTTTGTCATTTATTAGACAGTTAACAATCAATAACATTGATTTATCAACTTGTATTTTGGCCACAAGCTAGTATAGAGCAATGGATAGCTGGGCCTCTTAGGCTACATTTTTTTATCTCGTATCTACAAGGATTAGGTTTCCAGTAGCACCAAAATATTTCACTTTAGATTTCATAAGTAATTACAAAACAGGCTTAGAAGGTAAAACAAAACATTTTCCTTTGCTGATTTCCATTAATTGGTTTCAGTGACATTTTGTGGTTGAAGTTCCCTATTAAAGCCCACAATAGATTGTCCCCTCTACTAAAGCCTTCCTCAGTTCAGACTACACCAGGCTGGAGAGAACGGCACTTTTGTAAGGATGCAAAAATAGATAGTGCTCTACAACATCATCTTGCAGTAAAGATGAAGTAGCTGATTATGATAAAACAGGCTGGATTCACCCTAAACTATAATGTGGAGCTAAACTATAATGTATAACTTGCTTGTGGACAATATTGTAAGAACCTAAACAATTGTGGTTTATACAATAAACTATAGCTGAACAAGCTTAATGCAATTTGTGAATCCATTTGCAACAGACTTCATTTTATCTCTACCTCTGGGAGCTGGTTATGTTGCTTCCACTCCAATTTCAAAGAGCGATTTAGAATATCCTTCCTACACCCAATTCTTACCACTGAACATTTAGAAAAAAAATTGTCAAGAAAAATAAACTTCACGAAGAGCCCCAGTTCCTCAAGGAGTTCTTGTATTTGGCAAAAACATATTAGGCAGATTATAACTTCTCTTTTGTAGTCATTGAAAAGCCTTTCCCTAAATGCCCACTAGAAAGGGCATCTTGATTTCACAGAAAAGAGAAATATTTTTCCTAAAAATATGCTGGAATCACCTAATGTCAGTTTGTTCCTCCAGACAACATCTTTAAAGACTTAGTTACATCCTTATAACCTCACTCACAAATTCCCCTGCTTCAAACCATTTGACCTCTACAACAGGTTCTACATTCCTTTCTAGATTTTATTCATTTTTTTTTACCCTATGTCCAAATTCAGCCCATTCCATCGTTCCCCGAACTTCTGTTTACCTCCTAGCCAAAAATAAAACAGAGGTCAAATATCTTCTACTGTGCTGCAGTAAATGAAGAGACCCGAAGTATGCAACTTAGCATTTTCCTTACCAGTGAAATACCAGAATGAGTTAGGATTCTTCCCAATTTCTGCATTTGTCTGTTGCCATTCTTCACGTATCATTTATGTAACAAAAAGATTCTGATGAGTGGCTTCTGATGATTTTGTGGACACATCATAATAGTGTTGTTGCCAACAAAAAGAAAGTAGTTTGCCATTATTTTCTCCCTGAATTTTTTTTCTTCAATGTCCATGTCTAGTTTGGATCCCTGTGATTCTCTGATAGTTTCCTATTCAGATGTTAACTAGAGGTAATACTGTTTAATTTCCAATCCTGTAATAGGGTCAGTGTTGTCATTTGTTGAAACTTTTGCCAGTCAAGCCAGGGTGAAAACCAAAAAGAACAACCTATACAAAAATATGTGTTGCGGTATGAATATCCTAAGGTCCTAAGACAACGGTGGTTATAGACAAAGGGATAGGAAATACATAATACAAATTAAGAAATAGGGGCTTTTTTCAGCTTCTAGAAATCTGTAATTGGTTTACAAAAAACTCCTGGTTTTCCATCCCATTATTTTCTTCAGCAAATTTTTAAACTTGGGGTTGACTTTTAAATTTGGCAATCTCGTGAGATTTTGGTTATTGCAATTTGACATTTGGAGAGCCTACTATGTGATGGGGACATAGATATGCCATAGAGATTCCCCAATAGTTCTTTTGCTCATGCTTCATGATGTTGTCTCCTTAAGATAAATGTTTGGAAGCCACAAGATTAGACTAGGAAGTCTTTGACATACAGAATATTAATATTTCTGGTAAAAAAATAAATGCTTCCTTTTAAATTCTTGTTTGATGAACATGATGAACACAACAAAGCCATAAATAAATATCAGTTTAAAATTATTATAAATGTTAAGTACTTTTCCCAAAATAATTTGAAATTAATCTCATGAGATATGGCAAACACTGTTAGAAACCCATTTGTTGCTGTACTTTCATGAAATGTCTATGGAGAGTCTCAGTTATCCAGGTGATGGTTGTCCCAAAGGTGCTTTTTCAAGAGGCAACTGGACTTTCTGGTTTTTATTTGAAGACGTTTCACTTCTTATCCAAGAAGCTTCTTCAGCACTGACTGGATGGTGGGGAATGGAAGGATTTAGACTCCTTGCAGACAGCTGTTCAATTGCATTATTTTAGCAAGTCATTAAGGTCATTGGAGGTTTATCTGTGTCCTCAGGGTCACCTGAGTGGTGCAAATGGATGTGGAGTCTTCTTAAAACTATTGAAAGGACTGTGTTGTAGATTGGAGATAGATACTTTCGCTACTTTTACTATGCTGTTTGTTGAGGTATTCCCCGTTAGGAGAATGAGTGCACTCAGGGAAACATAGTGAGAGTGATGATGAGTAACACACAACCAGCATACCAGATACACTGAATAGTAAAATGTAGGTTTTACTTCCGGTAAACAGATAAACAAAGTCCAACAAACAGTCCGAATCATATACAGTTAAAGCAGTTATTATCAGTCCAGGGATAATCCGAAAACAAAGTCCAGTATCATAAACAAAGTTCAGTAAACAGAGTTTGCTAACAGTTGCAAGGCTCACAGCAATCCGAGCAGAACGACGATCAGGCAAAACGGCGAAACAGGAAATGCAAGAAGAAGAAACCAGGCTTCTGGCTCCATCTGATGACCGTTGGAACCTCAGCCAGTCACAATTACAGCATTCTCTTAAAGATACAACAGTATTAAATGACTAACCTGGTTTATATATTGCCAACCCAACTGTTAGGCAACTATCATTCCTAACACTGTTGATGTTAGTTTGGGGTGAATGCATTCCTCAGCATTTGAATATTCAGTTTTAATACTCCTTTGTGTAATTGGATACTGAATTTCCTTATTGGTAGGCCCCAGTTTGTGTTGAGTTGGAAGAAAAGTTTTCAACTCCATCTCCTTGAGTTCAGGTTCCCCACAGGGCTTGAGTCCACTATTGTTCACCTTGATGACCTATGACTGCCATGCCAAATCTGCTTCGAATCATATTGTGAGGTATGTGGATGACACAACAGTGGTAGGTCTTATCTGGGACAACAATGAAGATGCTTATAGGGAAGAGGTGAAAGCACTCTCTGGTGGACTGGTGCAATAAAAGTAACCTGATTCTAAATGTTAACAAAACAAAGATCACTGTAGATTTTAGAAAGAGACGGCAATCATATTCAACCCAGTATCAAGGATGCAGCTGTAGAGATGGTCAACATACTAAGCATCTGGATACTTAATGCAGATAATCTGAACTGGTCTCTTCATACATCATCTTAGTGAAGTGTGCAAACCAGCTCCTGCATTTCCTGTGTCAGATGAGAACACATCTTTATCCTTCTGTCCTGGCCACTTTTTACAGAGGCATAGTTGAGGGTGTTTTAACAAACTGTATCACTGTTTGGTTTGATGGCAGCAGTGCCTCAGAAAGTCCATATAGAGTGGTAAGGACAGCTGAGAAGATTATAGGAATCACATTTCCTGTTATTCAGGATACTTCTTATAAGCTCTATGTACTTAGAGCTCAAAGCGTTGTTAGAGAACCCACACACCCACTTTAGGTCTGTTTCTGTTGCTCTCTTCTGGGAGAAAGCTTTGAAATATTTCTAGCAGGATTACTAGATTCTGTAACAGCTTTGTTCCCTATGCCATCCATCTGGTAAACGTGCAAGATTCGTTTTTCTCACCATGTACATGTATACATCCGGACTAGACTGTGTTATTTCTCTGTGTCATATATGTCGGCATATGCATAATTTTGTATTTATACATTTAGTCATGTTTATGTAGAATATATTGGAGGTGGTGACCCTTTGAGGGCTGTATGCAACAAAATTTCATTTTAATGTATGCCGATTAGTGTACATTCAGTGACAATAAATTTATTCTAAGTTCTATCCCAATTATGTAAAAATCAGCACAAGAAACATTTCATTCAAACCAACGTCATATTTTAATGAAATTGAGGAGCTTCAATGTGCAAGAGAGCTTTCAAATAAACAAAATTCTAAGCCTCTTCTCCCAACTATATCAAGTTATAAATTAACTGAGAAAGTGGAACTTTCAAAATATCATCTCTGTGCTATTTGTAACTTCAAATATGTGGGTTTTTTGATCTTAACGTAAAACACATTCTATTTCTAGAATATGGTTGCACCTTCTTATTCCTCAGCCAACTCCTATGCCTTTGTTTTAAAGGCTTACTAATATTTCAGGTCAACCATAAATTAAAGCCTAATTTACAAATCAAAATTAATTTGCATATTTTTATCCTTAATCCTACACCTCAGAAAATTAAATATGATTCAAAATATTATGTAATTACAGTGGTGATTATAAAGAATTATTTTGATATGAGTCACTCCTATAATAAAAGAATATTGGAATGAGAATCTGAAAAAAAATGTTTGACTATAAATCCAAGACAAGCATGCTCCAAACAGAGAGAGCATTCCTGTCATTATAGGTGGACGGGAACCATTCCCTCTTCCTCCAAACAGCTTTCATCATTGGTAGCAAGCTTCATCTTGCATGCTGCATTTGCAGATCTTGAATCATTTTCAATAACCATAAATCTACAGGTACTACATAAGCGGCTACTTGGACTGTGGAAAGCGATGGCTCAATCCCCATGGTATGAAATTGTAAATCTTAAATCCCTTTAAGGGACACCTGGGCTTGCACGTTCTCTTTTGAATCTTGTTCATGAACTTATTGTTGAAACTTGTTCTCTGATTTCCACATTATCTCTTGAAATCATATAACCAAAGAGATAGTACAAATCAGGTGCCTTGTTCAAGAGGCATATCCATCTCTTCAGGTGGCACTCGAGGCTGGCATTGTGGACACCACCACGTAAGTCTTTTCAATCCATCTGGTGGTCCAAATGTTGCCTTCTTCACCTCATGCCCTTTGGGGCATTTATCTTTCATGTAAATCTGTAGCTGCAATCTTTGTCTTCCCAGCTTGTTGTGGAGCCATGCCAGGCTGAACTGGACAACATGATCAAGCAAAGATTTGAGATCTGTGGACTCCAAAGAGGAGCCAAGAGACAGTGGATGGATCCTTGCTAAATACAGGCTCTCATTTTTAATGATATTTCCTAGAAGAGAGAATAATTCAGGAGAAAGTGAACATTGGAGAGCCTATAAAGAAAGTGAAGTGAAAAAAGCAATCCTTATGCTAAGGATTAGCCCTTCCAAACTGGAGTCCTTAAAGGAGTCTTGGGAAATAATCCCCATCATTCCTAACAAATTATCAGGGTGATTGGGAATCACAGGAACTACAAATATTAAGAAAGGCTGCTGTAGGGCAAGGTAAAAACTTAAAACTAGAAAGTTCAGTCTCAGATATGAACTATATCATTAATCTTCATGGCTAACCTTGTATTGGTCATTCTGTCTAGCTTGTCCTATCTCATAGTGGATATTAAGTGGATAACACGAATATGTTCCTTGTTCTCATTTTGTTAGTTTAGGAAGATATACAGATAGATACAATAAAAACCTACACTTCTGTCAGCTATTTAGGGAACTGCAGGGCAGTTAGAAAACATTTTAGGCAGTGGGCATCATTATGGGATTTCACACATTCTTGTTGTATTTATTAGCGGTGTTATGAAATTATAATTCCTTTTAATTGTACCATGGTTGATTTAATTTTATTGTAAGCCACTGAGAGTTATCAGATTGTGGTGGGGTATAAGCTTAATAAATTAATTCATTATCCTGGATATAAATCTGTAACTCATATTTTTAAAATGGCAGAAATATGTGTATTATGGACCCTGTTCCATTATTGGCCCTCAATGTAGTGTTTAAATAGATGTCAAAGATCCCTTTTCAAGTCAATTCATTTGCAAAATTAAATCTTTTTCAATAGAATTGCTGCCCTAGTAAATTACAACCCCTGCATATAACTCCTATTATAAATCCCAAAATTAAGCATGTATGCACATTTTTGATCTTGGTATCAATTTTGAACCTACCTATTCCTGAGAAATAACTTTGGTTTAGGAGGATGTAGCACACAGGAGTATCTTTTGCAAGGACCTCCAAAGCCTGTTCTCGATCAAACTCCAGGCTCAGAATATCAGTTGCTGGATCAGTGCTAGGAGAAGAGCATTGCTGAATGCGGCAGTTATAAAATACCAGAAAGCTCCCGGCATCAAAATGGAGAACCAGCCTAAATATCCAAAATGAAAACAAACACCAATTAATTTAGAGGAGATGAACGGAGCCTGAATTTCATGAGCCATGTATGACCCTGAAAAACATGAGAGATTATCCCCAAAACCTTTTTTAAATTGTAGGTTTTAATGTGACTGAAGAGGAAAAATGATAAATACATGATGGAGAATCTTAATTTCTTAATAACTTAAAATTGTAACTGATTGACTAAAATGCAAGGAAAATCTAAGGAAAATTTTTCCTGGCCCCAGCATACCGTTTAAAATAAAATGCACTTCTTGGCCAAGAAAATTATACATTTCTGTTTTATTAAAAAAAAGAAGAAGCCCTGTTGAACTGTTTCCAGAAGAATTAATCCAGCTACGAGTAGTCCTCGATTTACAACTGGTGACATGTTTGACATTATGACAGACAACCCCTCCCCAAAAGCTACTTACAACAACCTGATTTTGAAATTATAACATCAGCCCCACCTGGTGGCCATAAAATCACATTATGGTGCAATCAGCCCACCTTTACAGCTGTTTGCAACACCCCTTTGTCACCTGACCATAATTTATTATGGTTTTTCTGGAAACTGGACTTTACTTCTGATTTCCAGCAAAAGAAGCACCCTATTGTGAACTACAAAAAGAGCTGTAAAATCATATCTAGTCAAATAGTTAGCCACTTTATGACCGTCGTGACCATCATTACAAGGTTCAATTATTGTTGCAACTCAAGGATTACCTGTATAGCAATAGAGTAAAACTCCCTTTATGCTAACCTGGGAATTGGATCTCTCCAGTCACCTCTTTTGTTTGCTTTATTCGCCCTTGCAAACTCATTGGCTCGCATGCTTCCATACAGACCAAAGTGGAAGCGGAGCCATTTCCAACTCTGCCCATTATTAATATCCATATCAGATGCCAACCGGCTTGCTGACTCTTCTTGTTGATAGCATTCAGGATTGTACATTTCAACTTCATTTTCTTTCTGGCCCTGGAGAAAGGAACTGCTTCCAGGCATTTCCAGTTTTTGTTCAGACAAATCCGAGGATACACTATCATGGCTGGGCATTATTTTTTCTTTGGTGCCAAAAGCCAAAAATAAGTTCTTCCCATGGACCTGCAAAAAATTGTTTTAAAAATCTCACATTCTATACCATCTTCTCCATTTTAATAACCCTGGCAGCACTCCTTCCTTTTTATTCCTTCTTAATTCTTCTTTTGTTTAAATAACAACTCTAATGTTTAATAAAAGGGCAGGGGAGAGAGAAAGAAAAACAGATGAGCCTATTAACTAACAGAAATATCTGGGCAAGTCTTTAGCTATGAAGCAGGAATTCAGGCTGGGAGAGTTTACCTATAAGAACTCCCATAAAAAAGGCCCAGAATGGAATTCTTCTTAGGATTTTTTAAACCTAAGGTCATCAACATGGCAACCAGAAGCAGCAGCATGTACATAGCCATCGTACATGGCAGTCTTGGACATCCCAAAATATTATTTTTTAAATTATATTTCAGAAATATCTGACATCTTGCAAAAGCACCAAATCTATTGGGATTTACATATTCCAACATGAGATCTTGAACACAGCTATCAAAATCTTGTCAAGACTTGGGTCTTTCTTTTTTTTTAATTGGGAGATGCAATCTCCAAAAAATGGCCAATTGTTACATACATGAAGTGCAGAGATAATAATCAAGTCTCTAATTTGCCTGGAGCAAAAAGCTATCTTCTGTATTTTCTACAGTATATGTTAATGGCACATGCTATATAATTTTTTAACAGTAATAATGTTGGCAAAACAGCATTAATACAAAATAAGCCAAGGTTGCTGTTTAAAAAAAAGTTAAAATATTTATTAGATAGCAAGACTCACTTGGATATCCCACAGTGTCAGTGTTTTCAAATCGTCTGGATTAATCTGTCTAGTGCTTCCTCCCACCTTGGATACCATCTTCCCTATGTAGGGAGAACACAAAAGCTGGAACTTCTTTACAGAGGGGCCTTCCGGCATTGCTGCAGTGCAAGAGCACAAAAACTGGGGATGACAGCCGAGTTCCTGACACTCCTGACAATCAAGTTCAAGGCTGAAAGAGTGTTGGGGAAAAATGGTTAAAAATGCCATTCTGTGCAACAAAATGTCTATTCCCAGGATGGCCTCCAAGCTTCTAGCCTAAATAACAATGTCAAATATACACTAAGACTTGCAGTAAAGTGGCAGCCTCTAACACAGGGCTGTCAAACTTGCAGCCCACGGGAGAGATGTGTCATGTGCTCGCCCAGTTTGGCAAAGGAGCAAAAATTCACGATACATCACGTGACGCTGCAAGTTTGACACCCCTGCCCTAACAAAACAGCTTTAACTTTTTTTAAAAGCCTATTATAATCAGTTGGATTTCCTTTGACCAATATAAGCCTCATGAATCTGTTAAGTATGATTAAGATTTTAACTAACCTTCATAATTGTGTGATTTGTTTCCCCCAGTTTGGGACAAGCACTTTTCAAGATAGGAAGCCACACTATTAATTCTTTCAGATACTTTAGTGCAGGGGTCTTCAAACTGAACAGCTTTAAGACTTGTGGACTTCAACTCCCAGAATTCCTCCTCCAGTCATGTTAGCTTGGGAATTCTGGGAGTTGAAGTTCACAAGTCTTAAACTTGCCAAGCTTGAAGACTCTTGCTTTAGTGAGACTCCTGGGGAGGCAGAAATGTCATTTTTTATGGCACTACTATCTCACTAATTCTTTGTTTTCTAACATTTAGTAAGGTACATTCAGCCAGGAAAGATTGTTAAAGTTAGAGGATAAAACATAATGAGCAACAAACTGTTATGTTTGGGGAGTTTTACACAGCTTGTGAAAAGTATAGTCTCACTGTGTTTCAAACTTGGCAACTAAAGTTGTATGGAGTTCAACTCCCAGAATTCCCCAGCCTACATGTTGGAGTCCACACATCTGCCAAGGTTAAGAAACACCAATCTACCTGACCAATAATGCTAACCTTTAGCAGTAGCAGCAGCTTCAACAGAGATTTCTTAAGTGTACAAGTAGTCCTCAACTTACAACAGTTCATTTAGTGACCGTTCAAAGTTACAATGCCACTGAAATAAGTGACTTATGACCATTTTTCAGTTACAACCTTTGCAATATCCCCATGTTCATGTGATCAAAATTCAGATGCTTGGCAACTAGTTCATACTTATGACCATTGCAGCCTCCCAGGGACTAGCAAAGTCAATGGGGAAGCCAGATGCACTTAACAACCAGTTTACTAATTTATCAACTGCAGTGATTCACTTAATTGTGGCAAGAAAGATTGTAAAATGGGGCAAAACTCAACAAATGTCTCAACAACAAATGTTGGGCTCAATTGTGGTCATAAATCGAGGATTACCTGCACAAGAATGGTACCATACCCCACCTCCAAACACGGCAAAGGTCTAGTTTTGTTGTTACTCTTACCATTATTAAAAGGAATGTGTCCCAGCCCCTAATACAGACCATCCTAGGTTGCTTGTCGCCAATTATTTATAGGTATTTCCATGCTTCCGGTACCAGATTTTTTTTTCTTTATCAACCAATAGCAGATTGAAATAACGGAATATAGTCCATTTACAACAGATATTCGGAGCATTATAGGGGAAGAGGTTTAACTGGAACACAAATCGAAATATATCTTACGTTGGAGACTCCTGAAAGTTGCAATAGAAGAACGAAGATGTGTACACGCGCACTCACATGTAGTCGGAAGAAAATGAAATGGAGATGGTACGATCAATGATTTTTAAAAAATTAAAGTTATTTCCCTCTGTAAAATTTAATTAGTGGGAACTGAAGCCACCAAAGCTTTCACGCTTCAGTTCGCTTCCTGCCTTCTTTCATTTCAAAGCGGGGTGGTTTTTTTTTTTTTTTGTGCTCCTGCCTGTTCGCCTTCTGAAAGGAGCCATCTCGGCAGACCTTTTCAGCAGAGAACCGAGCGGCTGGCTCGTCTCCATCGATCTGCGCAGCCCATCCTATCCTGCGACGAGTGGATTAATTGAGGGCTGGGTGAGAGGCTAGGAAGGCCGCTTAAGCCTTCCAGTTCCGTCTTTCGATGTTTGAACTGTGGGAGAAAAAGTGAGGCTTGGATACGTGTAATCTGAGTTCCCGCAACTCGCTAAAAGAGGCGAAGTGTAAATGCATTTGCACAAAAAGCAAAATTTGGCTAGCATTAACTATGGATAGTTTTGCAGTTTGCGTGAATGTCGGTAGCCATAGTGAGACAATAAGCTATCCTTTTTCAATAAAGGAGAATATTTGTAGCTCAGGGTTGAAGTGAAGGACGTTTCAGACGTTTCGTTATTCAAGCTAGGCAACACCAGTTTCTGGGTGAGATCTGTTTAACTTGTACATATCTTAACATCTTGTATTTTATATTTTAAAATTCATGTCATCTGCCTTATTTTAAGTGTGGTGTTTCTGACAGGAAAAAAACAAACCTAGTTTGGGTCATGAAAAGTCTGCAAGAAAAGAACCAAGTTCAGAGAGCACCAAGGATCCCTCATATCCTTTTTCCTTGGTTGATAACCTTTATTTTCACATTTTTTGGCAACTCGGATAGAATTTGCTTTGGAATCTATTTTCTCCATAAAAAGGGCAAAACTTTTTTTAATGCTAACATTTATGAGCTTGTACAAATTTTCTTTTCTCACAGGAAGCTTTCTTTAAAAAAAGTTTTCAGGGTGTGTACAATGTACCCAGGCTAAAGTGCCTTAAATAAGTTTTGAAAGTATATGCTGGAGAAGACAACCCTTGAGAGCCAACAAAATAATAGGCTCATCAAAGAAATTTATGTAGAGTTTTTATTCAGTGTCACAAATTGCTAGGCTCAAATTATCCTACTTTGTACATATTATGGAAAAGTCTTTAATGCGTAGAAAGGTGGAAGAGGACAGCCAGCAGTAAGAGGGATGGACAATAGTGATGGGTGCACCACTGGTAAGATCTGAAGGTTAAGGGTCAATCAATGTCTTCTTACACCCAGATTTCTTGAAGTAGTAACAATGGTAACAATTAGCTTCCCCCTACAGCAAACCATAGATTTCACCTCCAATACCAAACATCCTACATTCAAAAGCTTTCTCAGTAGGGCTTACTCCCTAATAAATCAACTTCAGATAACCTGGTAGGAGTTTATTGATGCTTTATGAACAAATCAGAGATATCAGATGAGTCAGAAGTAAACACATTTCAAGTGTATGTAATCAAGTTTATTCTTACTAATATCAGCTTGGAACTAGAACACAGGTGCTGATAATCAACTTATTCCTGGCATGGCAAGCATTGGGAAACATTTACTGAAACTTACAATGTTTGCTGGGTTTAAGGTGAAAACAAAAGTACAACTTAGAGGTACACTTGTTCCTTCCTTCCCCAGATCAGTATTATGTACAAGCTAGCACAAAATAATGTATGTAGGTGTATTGCATGTGCAAATTGGGCACTCCTGTTTGGAAGTGATTACTGAGCTATATATTTTAATTTGTATGTTTATTAGATACCAATGTAATATTCAATGCTGAAAATATTGTTCAGAGTCAAAACTGCTAATACTAATGTTGCTATCTTCTTCCTGCTGCTGGGGCCTTGTTACTACAACTAGGACAATTAAAATAGAATATATGTGACTATTTTGAATAGAATAGTGCCAGAATGTGTACATGAACATTTCACAGTAAAACTACATTGATAGTTTAAAATAAAATTGTTTAAATGTCTGAGATTGCACTGATCCAAAAATATGCTACATCTTAGAAAGAAAAGGGATTTAGCAAATGGCCTACACTGGTAACCTCTTTCACTAAAACAGGAGATAGATAAGGTAAGTGGATTCTAATTTTCAGAGATATCAACCTGAATCAGGAAACTATTTCAAATGGGATTCACATGAGTGCAGTATCTACATTTCCTTCTCACTTTAGACCAGTCCCTGAATAACTAGGATTCTACAGTTGTTCATGCTCACATTTATAAGAAGCATGTATGACACTCTAGACAAGTTTTGATATACAAGCAATGCAATCTGAACCAAATAATCAAAATGAATACCCAAAATGTGAATCAAGCCAGGGCTACCATCCACAAGACCAGGGGTCGCCAACCTTTTGGACCTCAGGGACCACCAAACTCATAATTTTAAATCCCAGGGATCACTAACCAGTTCTGTGGGTGTGGCCTAATTTGTAGGTGTGTCTTGGTCGTGTGACTGGCTGGGCATGGCTTGTGTGTAAATATAAGTATTATAAATATATAAATATTTAAGTTTTTATAAAAAAAGAGCAACTTTTACCCAAAATCAGGCAAAGCAGGCAGGCAGATTGAGTTGCTCACAGAATCACCAATTCATTTAGAGATCTGCGTTTCTGCCATCGGCTAACTGAGTCTGTACTGCTTCAGTCCTAAAGAAGGTTCGGCTCTGCTTAACAGAGCCGAAGATCTAAAGATTAGCTAGAAAGCAAGAAATCCAACGATTTCCTACTTTCTAGCTAATCTAAATCTCCCAGCATAGCAGAACAGCTGATGGTTGGGGGGAAAAAGGAAAAATAGCAGATTAGCAGGCAAGTTTACCAGGTAAGGAGTGAGTGGGCGGGGAGGTTTCCTGTGGGCCATCCCGTGCAGCCTGGATTAATTGCTTTGGGGGGTGCTCTGTGGGTGACATTTCTCTACGGCCCACCAAAATTTTGTTGTGGACCACCAGTGGGGCGGTGGCCCACAGGTTGGCAACCACTGCACCAACAGTAGCAAACAGATTTTCAAGAAAATCTCAGAATTGAAGAAGCTTCTTAGATGAGAAGCGAAATGTCTTCAAGGAAAAACAAAGTCTAGTTGCTTTTGAAAAACCAGCTTTGGGACAACCATGACCTGAATATTGAGAATCTTCATAGAGATTCAAGAAACATTTTAGCAAATTCCCTATCCATAATTTTTCATCCCCTTCACTTCTAAGCTTGAGGTATTTAGAATAAAATCTGGGACCTCTTATGATCTAAGAGTCATAATTTACTCCAATTCATTAATTGCTTCTTGTTCTAAACATTTTGAAACTATCACAAAAGTTCTGAGGGTAAATATTACAATTTTACTGATGATTACACACAAAGCTTTGTTTCTGTAAACCAGAACAGAGCAGTGGTGGTATTCTACCGGTTCGCCTGGTTCTGGCGTACCAGTAGCACAGAAGATCAGCTGAGACCGAACCGGTTCTCTGAGAGGCTGCTGTTGGGCCCACCTGCCTGCCTGGGCTCCCATACTGACCTTTATTCCCTGCTTTTGGAGCACAGCTGCTTTGTGCAGCACAGCAGATTGCATTGCGTCAGCTGCTGAAGTGACAGGGAGAGTGCAGGATTGCAGGAGGTGAGTCGGAAAGCTTCTGTCCCTGCGTAGAATGTGAGTTTGGTGTGCATGCACAGTGTGTGTATGTGCACAAAGCACACCCACCAAGCCACGCCTACCGAACCGGTGGTAAACTATTTTGAAACCCACCACTGGAACAGAAGCTTTCAAAATTCTATATTTTGCAATGGTTTGATTATTTCATCACAGGAGATAATGTCTTTCAACACCAATATTTACTAAAGACAATCTAAATGTCAAAAAACATGGATTACTACTCTTTTTTCTCCTTGTATTGGAGTGGAGTTGGGGCGCTTGAATGGAGCTGAACATTACGGGCCAGGTGCCCTTCCTGACACATATATGTTTGCACCAGATATTTTCTCTTTGCATCCAGAGAGAGAGAGAGAAATATCTACCGCTATGTAGGATTGAATTCATAGCCTCCTGATTGTGAGCCAAGAGTACCACCTCTAAGCCACCATACCACTCATACGTTAATAGTGTTTTTATCATTTTTTTCCAGGCATTGTGAAGACAAGCATTAGCAGCATCTGGATTCAAAGCAACTATTAAAAGTAAAAATGACTATTAAAAAAGAATGAGATTGAGTGAAAACAAGTGCCCAATCCTGCCACTGGGTCGTGTTCACCTTAATCATAAGTATAAAATCTTTTTAAGTTTTATTTAGTACTAGCACCATGCTTAATATTAGAGAAAGCAGACTTCAGTTCAAATTATTTCCTTACCCACTACCCCTGCCATATTCTGAAATGGGTGTCTGTTAATCTACAGTCACCCATTCTGTAAAATTGTATATAAATCACAGATAATCCTTCTTTCAGCTGGAAAACACATAGGTAAAACACTATGAGTTGGTTGCTTTGAAAGGAAAAATAGATTTATTAATAGCAAAGGAGGGGGGATTAATCAAGTTGACAGAAAAGCAATTAAATTAACACCAGTGTGCTGCTGGTAGTCATAAAATTGCTGGATCCACAACATTCTTGCTAGAATCCACCAGCCATAGTGGATTGCAGCTATGAAGACAAAACTGTTACTCTGTGTTCCATACTTTAAAAAAAAAACTCTGGAGTCCTCAGTTCACGATTGCAGAATTTGCCAACCACACACCTCCATTTTCTTCTGGATTCTTGTGGGCCACCATCCTTGAACATCCATTTGAGTTTCTTGCAATCAAAGATAATAAAATTTTATATGCAGTCTCTTTGGGGAAGAATAATTTTTATAAATCAAAATGGGAAATAGAAAACCAAAACTCAAGCCTATGCCAGCAACTAGCCTGTTTTCCATTCTTCTTTGCATATACTACTAGTTCTTTAGGCTTCGAATTAGCATGGGATGGATAGCTATCACATCCCAAATCAGGAAATCAGATCTTTCATAAAGGCCACTAGCCACTGATCCTACATAATCCAAAGTTTAGGGATATTGCTGGCTTATTTTTTGTTTTTATTTTATTTTTTATGTTTTTTAACATCCATTCTATTTTTATGGGCTGGCTTATACATTCTTTCATTTTTCAAAGGATGATTGAAGACTGAACATGTGGAAAGCTGCAATTACAATTTTTTTTCTAGCTCATACATACCCTTCACATATACACACATAGACAAACATACCATTTGATATTATATCTCTGTATATCAGTTATGTATAAACATGTAATATTGGTGTCCAGGTTATCTGGAGGATTTCTTAAAAATAGAACTTGAACAGGCCAAAACAATTTGGAATGGTTCTTCTAAGACCAGAACTAGACAAAAACAAAGGATGGGAGGGAGAAACAAGAAAAGAAAAAGAACAAACAGTATTGCTTGATAGTTGCCCATCGCTTACGAGTCCTAAGCTTGGTAACTCCCTTAGAAGGGGGTGAGGAGGCAAAAGATTGTTAAGCTGTGAGGATGTCTCCATGTGTTTCCCCCAAGACTAGGCTGTTCCAAGAATCTTGCTTGGTGTTAGGCTGGGGAGAGTGGTTGATGGCTGCTTGGTAAGCCTGTGGGGAAAGTTTGAGAGTAGGCACAGTGGAGTGAAGAGCAGGTCCATGCCCAGACATTGCCGCAACAGAGAATGCCTAGTGGGGAGAAGGAAAAAGAAGAAAAAACATAAATAATGGGAAGGAAAAGAGAAAATAATGCTTTTTCACTGTTTGCCTGAAGCAGTCTCTGCATGGGGCTCTGTTTTTCCCATTTCCCTTTGCAATGGTCACAATATAAACCTTCGGACCAAACTACCACATACACCTATACCATTTGCCCTAAATTATCAAATGATCAAAAGGCATCTTTTGCTATTTCACTGTATTTCATTGTGAGCTATGGTTAATTCTGCCTTCTCCATAGCAGACTCTGTGCTACTAAAAAATTTGCCACTGAAACCGAAGCCTTATAATTTGAGAGGCTAAAATGTACTTGTTCATTGAGGCCTATTAACAATTTCAACTGCTCCACTTCTTTTACCGATTGTAAAGCATGATAATATTTTGTCTAAACATTATCTAAAGTGAATCTAAATGATACTTTTAGATTTAGCTTAATTATATTTCTATTGTTGCAGTTGTATTTTTGTAACAGTCTTAAGCCACCAGCAGCACATTAATAGGTTAAATAAATTGAAAACTCAGTAAACTTTCAAAATCCCCAGCCACATTCCCCAGTGAATCTGGCTTCCCCATTAACTTTGCTTGTCAGAAGGTTCCAAAAGCTGATTGCAACAATGGCACTAAATACACTGTTGTAAGTCGAGGACTACCTGTATATAAATCACATGGACACAGTCTTCTCCATTACAGAGAAATGTCTTACATCTGGAGAGATCCAGAATAGGAAAAGTTACCCTAATGGACTCTGATTATGCAACCTTTGCTTTAGAAGCTTAAAGTATGCAGGTGGGCGCAGGAGTTTTATTAACAAGCTCACCATAGAACGCTGAAGCTTTAACTCAACTCTGTTCGGTTAAATTCAGTGCAGGATTGTTAAGAAATTAAAATACAGAGAAAGCCATATGCGTCTGATTTTGAACTTGACAGAAAGGCAGAATACAAACGCAGAGCCAATAAGCAATGAGACGATATGACTATATATATATATATTTTGCATAATAAAAAGCTTCACCTGAGGAATAGGGCTCGGGTGTCCATAATGAGATGAGATCCCTGGTTCTGTCTTGATGGGGCGCATTTCTTCAGCAGTAGTAGTGGTGGTCGTGCTGGTGCAGGGGGCTGAGCTAATTGCAGTGGGGAGGCTTTCATTGGTGGCTGACCCTAGGGTGGGAGGTGGAAAAGGAGGAGAGAAACTGTTAAAGCAGATCTGCCCTGAGACTTTAGCCAAAAATTAAAGTATTTGCTGCTGTAATGAGAAAGAATGTTAAATAAGAAAAAAGGCCAAATGGATCTTTATCAGGAAGGTTTTCAGAGAAAAACACCTTGCCACAGCATGACATTCAGCTCTTAGGTAATTACATGAGTTGATGCCCAGATACCTGCAGGACTCCCTTCTCCCATCTGAATTGGCCCACCCAACATGCCCATCTTAATGGCAGCAGCTTTGGTCAAACTCCAGCAATGAAATAAGGGGAATGGAGGGCAAGGAAGTGCTGTCTGCTCAACCTTGGGAAATACCTTCACCTTAGAATGCAGGCTAGGTTCTTTCTAAGGTTCTTACAAGGTGGAATTATTCCAAATACTTGATTAAATACTTGGTTCTCACCAAATTTATTTCACTTTGGATTACTTCTCTGTATTTTTTTATACGTGGAAGGTTTTGTTGATAGTTTATAACCTGTCACAAGGTCTATTTTGAATTGGTGGTATCCAAGGGGAATGCCTGAATGAGCGAGTGACTGAGTGAGTGAGTGAATGAATAAATGAAAGAATGTTTGAAAGAAAAGTGATGTAATTTGAAGGACCACAGAATTCCCATGTTTGCTTTTGGTATACTTTTTCACAGCTTTGGCAGACATTAAGCTTAAATTGTAATTACCACTGAGTCATATTAGATAAGATAGGTTTTTTTTTCCTAATTGTACTCACCTGCTGATGTCTTGGATTTGCTCAAGTTCTTTGGTTTACGCTTCCTGGTTTGGATCCCTTCTTTTCTCATAGCTAAAGGTCTTGGAACCTATAAAGATGCATTAGAGATCAACATTAATCCCCTAGAAAAATCTGCACTTTTTGAATGTACAAAAGGCTGTGAGTAGCTCATTGTTTTCTTAACTGTGATTTGGGTGTGCTCCCTCATGTTGACACAACAAATGCAAAATGAATGTGTGCTGCCAAGGAGATTTTCTGGAGACAGTTTACAAAGAGACAAGAAAATGGTAAACTGTATTTTTATTACCTTTTGACAGGCAAGTCAGATTCATAATGTGAGGTATGTATTAGGAAAAAGCCTCTTTCAGGCTATAAATAGAAAGAAGTATATTTTTGTTATTGTTGTTCCTGGGCTGTTTGTTATAGCTTTTGATTCATAGTGGGCTAACTGAGGTCATTGTGCTGCCAAAAGCTATAGTCCCCCTGTACTGATTCAAATACAAATTTAAAACATTTTTAAATAATTATTTCTTTTGAAAATTGTTCTGCAGGTTGGAAAATAGATAGTGCTTAGTATATTCTATTTCTTCACCTATTTTTCCAGCAGTAAGGCTAAATCTGTTTTCATATCTGCCAACCTGCATTGGCTCAGCATGGCAGATTATGTTCTATTCCTTCCACATGCCAGTACAACCTCAAAAATGGCCCTCATTGCCCTGAGGCTATAGGGTAACTACCCATAGCAGTGGGCACTACCCTGCTAAGAATCACTGGGTTAAATCAGGCTGACTTTGGACATAGAAATTGTCAACATTCAAACAATGAAAATGACTGCTTGACCAGAAGAACTGCTGATTGAACTCAACAATATGCATGGGGCAGTGGTGGGATTCAAAAATTTTTACTACGGGTTCTGTGGGCATAGCTTGGTGGGCATGGTTGGAAAATGATATTGTAAAATCTCCAATCAGAGGTGGTATTTGCCGATTCTCCGAACTACTCAAAATTTCCACTATCAGTTCTCCAGAACTGGTCAGAACCTGCTAAATACCACCTCTGGCATTGGGATATCATTGGATTATGTGAAATACAACAAAAAGGCAAAAATTTAATTGAGCTTGAGAAGACTTGGCATTTACTCTACACTAAAGGTGCCGAAGATGGACGATGTGATGGAGTTGGTTTTTTAATCAACCAAAAGCTGGAAGACATGTAAAATTTGAAAGTATATCAGACAGAGTAGCCCAATGCATCATTCAGTTGAACAAACAATACTAGCTTCAAATCATCCACGCTGATGCTCTAACAATAAGCTATATGGTGATGATGAGGTAGTCGAACAATTTTACAAAGATGTGGCCCATCTTCAAGGCAAAAGAAAAAAGCTGATACAAAAAATGCTAATGCTAACTTTAATGCAAGAATAGCAAAAACAGTGCCTGGGGGTGGGTGGGAAACTGGTCTGTATGGAAGTGATGAACAAGATGATAGAGGTGACAGGCTAATAGATTTTGCTGAAGGACAGGAACTTTACATCATGAACTTATTTTACTAGAAAAAAGCTAGCAGAAAGTGGACATTGAAGAATCCATCTAGGTACACAAGCAAAATTGACTACATCATAAAACCATATTCTGCAATTGTCACCAATCATTTTAATGTTGGAAGTGACCATAGAATGGTACGAGCTAAAGTAAAGATAGACTGTTGAAAAGAGCATATGAAAATGATAAAGACGTCATGAAAAAACAAAAATAAAGAGTGATTAGCTGTTAGAGAACAGTAATTTTGAGATTAATCTGTCAAATCTCTTTGCTCTATTACAAGATTTCAAAGAGATGAACATTACAGACCAAAATGAACAAATAGTCAAAAACATCCTTGAATCTGTTACATTTATAGCACCACCAGAATAACACTTGGTTTAGCCAAAAATCTCTTATGAGCAATTGATTTAATGATGAAGAATATTGAAAGTTTCAGTAATAAACTGGAGTACATTGAACTTTGCAAGACCGTAAGAAAATGTATCCAAGAAGAAACATGCCAAGTTAACATGGAACTTGTGAAAAGGGCAGTTGAAGAAAACAAAGAGATTAAGAGAGCAAAATGCAAGCTTATAGATAACAAAAAAGAAGTTTTTGCATTCAAACGTGAAGATGGTTTGTGTGTAGAACAAGATAGGAAATGTTAGAAATAATTGGAAAATTCTATTCAGAGCTATACAAAGATCAAAATCACTCAAAAGTAACAATACTCACAAAATAGGAAATGCCAGATATCCTAGTGGGGGAAGTATCAAGTGCCATAAAATCAATGAAAAATGGCAAAGCTTCAGGAAATGACTGTGTTACGGTTGAAATGCTAAAAGCTGGCTGTCACAATTTACACAAGATACTAGCAAAACTATACTTGAGATGCCTCAGAGAAAAAATACCCAAATGCATGAAAAAATACTGAAGTGATTCTGATACATAAAATGATTTAAAGAACTATCACCCAATAAGCCTTATTTCTATTATCTACAAGATTTTCACCAAGATAATAGCAAAAAGAATATTAAAAGTATTAAATAATGCACAGGCAAAGGATCAGTGGCTAAAGTGGCTAAAGCACAATGGACCATACCTAGGTTGTTCAGCAAGTTATTGAAAGGCACAACGAGTACACCATACCTCTGTGCATGGCTTTCATTGACTACGAGAACGTGTTCGACTCAGTAATTCCAGCAAGCAATAATTAATGCATTGCTCAACCAAAGCTTGGACATTGCTTACTACATCAATATATGAAAAATCAATGATGACAATTTGCCTTAAGGATCGTAAAGTGGAAATCAACATAGAAGGAGGTGTACAAAAAGGCAACATAATATCACCTATCCTTTCTCAGCCTGCCTTGAAGAAGTATTTTGCAAACCAGACTGGGCAAAAAAGATGGAATAAAAAGCAATACCGCTTATTTAAATCACTTAAGATTTGCAGGTGATGTTATTCTCTTCTCACAAGACCCGAAAGAACTACAAAGACATAAGAACTGCACAAAACAGGAGAACCATTTGGCTTAAAAATAGATCTGAAAAAGAACCAGGTTATGTTTAATAAATTTATCAAAGAATTTTTAAAAAATACCTTGAGAACTAGACCACTACATATACCTTGGCCACTGGATCTCAGTGGAAGGTGATACAATAAATGAAATTGAATAGCTTGTTAAATGTAGTTGTCAGGCATTTGGCAATCTAAGCGTAATTTTCAAGAATAACCTCCCTCTATGCTTGAAGAGAAAGGTTTTTGATTAGTGTGTACTACCTGTTGTAACATATGCCAGTGAGACATGGACACTAACCTCACAATCGATACAAAAGTTATGAGTGGTGGAAAGAGCCATGGAAAGAGAAATGCTCAGCATTACAAGACAAGATAGAAAGACCCGCACATGGATTAGAGAACAAACTGAAAGTATATTATCAAGGGAGTAAAAGAACTGAAATGAAAATGGGCTGGTCCCAAAGCAAGAAGAACTGATGGCAGGTGGATGAAGGCTGTCATAGAATGGATCCCGCTTGATAAAAAGCATCCATGAAAGAGACCTAAAACAAGATGGATCAATGACATCAGCAAGTATTGCTGGCCCAATTGGCAAAAGAAAGCTCAGGACCGTGTTAATTGGAAACAAACAGAAGAAGCCTTCATTGTGCAGTGGATAAACAATGGCTAAAATGATGACGACGACAATGGAAAAAGCTGTTTTCAGTTTCCATTGTTTCCCATAATAAAACATGTTCTTTTAGAAAATGAGAACTTTCAGAATTGTTGAATCAACAACTAAGTCTACTCTGGGTGAAGAGTCCTAGAAGGACACCTCTACTAAAGACCAAATCCAGCCCTCCCCAAAAAACACTCTTCAGATCAGGGGTGGGATTCAACCGGTGTTACTACCAGTTCGGTGACTGTGCTTTGCCTGACGCGCGGCATGTGCGCATGTAAAAAACCCTTCAGCTGTGCCACCCGGACAGTTGAAAAGCACTGTGTACAGGTGCACAGCATTTGAAAAGCCTCTCTTTTGCCTGAATTTTTCAGCCTCAGCTGTGCCGTGCAAAGCAGCTGAGGTTAAAAAAGCAGGAAATAAAGGACAGGTAAGAGCCCAGGCGGATGGGTGGGCCAAACAGCAGCAAACACAGAACCGGTTCGGGGTCTGCTGCTCTTCAGATCTACCGGTTCTTTAGAACCAGGCAGAACTGGTAGCATCCCACCCCTGCTCCAGATTTATAAGGGCAACACTATAAATCCCCAGCCAGGATGATTGGATTTTTTCCCCACCATTTTTCTCCTCTGCCCTCCCATCTTTGGCTTCAAAGGAATGCCCAGAAGGGGCAGTTTCTTTGCACTCTTTATTAACAGGAAGCCCTACACAGGGAGAAATGTCCTGATGCCACTTTCTTGATCTATTTCTTATAAAGCAGCCTTCTCTGGTGCCCTCCAGATGTTTTTACATTCTCAGAATTCCCATCCATCAGGACTTTCAAACTGGGGGAAATTGCCACAAATAGGTTATGCTTTGTTTTCTGCTCTCACCCCATGGAGCTTCATGTATAAGCCACAAGCATTGCAGACTGGCTCTCCTTCAGCATTTCGGCGCCACAGTGTGGTTGTAGATGTATGGCAGTTTGCACATGACAGTCCAATCCGACGGGAGGCTGACTGTGAGGCACAAGAGTTCAAAGCAAGAATAACTGATTAATTCACTAAGATTCAGCTTATCTGTCAATCTTTTTTTACTAATTATCATAACTTGCTATAAAATATGCCAAAACAACTAGACACAAAAACAGTTTTCCCTCCATGCCATCACTGTGCTAAATACCTAATTCCCACAGCACACTCTTATACCTAAGGATATTTACTCATGCAGTAGGGCTGTATTGCTATTATCTTTTTCATCTTTCCTATTACCTTCTTCAATGGCAGGGATGTCAAACTCGCACCCCACCCTCATTTTAGCAAAGGGGGAAAAGTCGCGATGCATCATGTGATGACAACGTGACACTGCAATTTTGACACCCCTGTCCTATGGTATCTTATGATTTATGATTTTGTTGTTTGTATGTACACTGAGAGCTTATGCATCTGAGACAAATTCCTTGTCTGTCGGAGGAGGACGAATAAGCTTCAGAGCCATATTGAAACTGTGTTATGATATACAACCTTATAAATGGTATAAATCTAATTTGCTTTTTACAGGTCAAGATTAATAGGAGACAGGTGGGATTGAAACACAAAGGAGATTCTCACAGCCTGTGAACATTTGCATCACATTCCTTACCAGCCTCCTCTGGGGCTTGATCAGTGGCCGGTTAATGCCATTCATCTTGTGGTAGAGTCCACATGCATTACAAAGATAGTGGCCAGTGCCATCTCTTCGCCACAGTGGGGTGGACATAGCACCACAGTTGACACATTCCCGACCTTCGGAGTAATCATCAAAAAACTCTGTAGGCATAAAACGGGAAAATGAAGTCAGTCATCAAAGGATTTTGTCATGTAGCCATTTCACAAGTCTTTAGTATAAACTCTTGAGTGCCTTGAACACCCTTCTTTAGTCTACCAGGATGGTGCAAAAAGCTGACGGTTGTTATCTCCACCTTTTTATTTCAAGTGTTTTTGGTTTGCTTTCAAAGGATAAAATCTTTCTGCCACACTTCACATAAAAAAGACAATGCATGTCAATTTCATGAATTATTTTTACTAGGAATCTGCAAGTGGCCTACACAGGGAATAACTTTGCACAGTTTTGTACATTCATATGTGTTGGATAACAGTTATCATTTCCAGATAGCCCAAGCAATGGCCATGCTGGCTATGACATTAAGAGTGTTTAAATCCAGCACATAACAGAAACTATCAAGTTGGGAAAGCACAAAGCAAGGTCTCCCAATTACTGTTGTTCCTAAAATTGAACAGTAGAGGGAGATCTTATTTCAGCCTATGCCAGAACAAATGGCAGACCTGTATTATTTACACTGCTAACTTCTACAAAGAAGTTGGATGAATTTATCAAATATTTAAAGACCTATTGTATTTAGAATGTGTAGCAGATAGACTGCTCTGCTTCTGTCTCCTTATTCAAGTCTGAAAGTTGGTCAAGGGATTTACGCATAACACATTAAATCTGCTAAAAACACAATTGCAGGACTCCTATAATTAAACCATGCCCAAACCAAAATAATAATGAAAACATATTGCTAAAAATAATAATTGGATTCAGACAACCTATTAGGACAATGCCTGGATTTCCATAAGTAATGGCAAATGCCCAACTTGGTTTTAGTTTAGACACTAATATATAATATATTGTGTGAATCCACTGCCTCTCCCCTAGATAATCTTCGTTCATTATGAAAATATATCCAAGGTTAGATCTGATAATCTTCCTAAGAGATACCCTGAAAACTTCCAGGGCTGGGGCATTTAAAAAAAAACCGTGAAGAAATAATGAAAGCCATTACTGAATTGCCAGAAGATATTTGGAATGGTTATTTCCAAAATGTCACAAGAGTTGAAATGGTCCAAGAAAAACTCTTGAGGTGATATGGCATTATCTTTTTTTATATTTCTGGGGAAATTTTCACTCTGACAAAAGGTGGCTCAGTTGCATCTGGAAAGGGTTGTAGGATCAATTCAGTTTTCTCTCTTCTCTCACCTGTACTCAGACCTGTTTAATTGTTTTGATGGGATTTGGATGGCAGAAGTGAGAAAACTAAAGAGACAAATAGATAAAGACAACTTGGTCTTATTCTTTGATATTTTAATTTAGCAAATTCTTTAGCAAAAAATGATGTTTTTAAAAGAATATCAGCATTATTGCTATCACAATCCCATCTGGTGCAATACTTGAATGCAGATTTGACTCAAGTGTTCCTCCTCGTCTCTCATTTACGACTGTCTATGCACTGTCTATTTCTCCCAAATCCTGGAAGTCACCCCAGCTCATTCTCCCCATCATAGCTATTTCAGTGCCAATATTAGAATCTATATTTTGTTAATGTTATCTAAAAAGGATATCATCAGAAAATTGACTGAGCAACTTGATTCAACTAGAGCAGGAGTGTCAAACTCACATTGTCATGGCTGGATCACGTGATGTATCGAGGACTTTTTTCCCCTTCGCTAAACCAGGCCTGGGTGTGGCCAGCATGTGACACATCCGGCCTGCAGGCTGGTAGTTTGACGGCCCTGAACTAAATTATGATGGTTGGTCATGATTTATTGAATTTATCACAGTGGCTGAATTCAGATTGTTATACACCCAATCAGCAATTGTAAAGGTTCCACCCCACCCCTCTAATAGGCATTTACTACGGGTTTAAGGGGAAGGAGAGTCAATACTGTCATGGGTGAAGGACATTAAAAAGACATGTTGCTAAAGAAAGAGGAAGATGACTTGCATTTGGCATTCACTGATATTGTGAAGAAGCCCCTCTTTTAAAAAAAATATCATTTTGTAGCATCTGCACTAATTATGTTTAGAAGACCTTGGGCTCTTAGAAGCAAGAATTTGTATATTGAAGAAAAATGAATCTTCCATAGTTGTCAGAGTGATGCTTCTTGGACAAAGCTATTAACCTTGCAAAGCGAAAAAAGACACAATGTAAACGTGTGAATTTATAGACTCAGAAGGTTTAATAGAAGTTTGGAGGATGATTTCAGAAAAACTCACACATATGCATACACCCCCAAGGCACTGTTGCTCTGATCAAAGTCCCTACTATCTCCCAAGCAGCTGTGTCTAAGTTAAGAACAACAGTGTTGGGGGAAAAAAAATCAGAGTACCATCTGTTATAGTTGTGGGATTTTGTTCCAAAGGGAGAACCATGGGAGATACAGTAGCTCTTTGCCTCCAAATACAGTTTGCATAATTGTAAACAAAGCAAATACTGTGAAGGTGCTATAATCCTCCTCCAAGTGAAACTAGGAAATATGGAACGTCTCGCTGTTAAGAAGGACACAATATAACCAACAAACAAAATAACTGCACTTTAAATAATACTGACTGAAATTGGTTCAGATTCTCTCACACAGGGTGGGGGGGGGAGGAGAGATTGCACACAAAGTCCATAAATTGTCTTCTATTTAGGAGCAGAGATTATAAAACACAAATAATGTATATATGAAATAGTGGAAAAGAAGTATCCCAAATGAAAATTGGAGGAGGGCAGAGAAGAACAAGAGCAGGAGGAAAGGCAGTCTGCACTGTCCTCAATTTATATATGGTACACACTGGAGCTGCCTGGGATTTATCATGTAGGAACAGAGGGCTGTTTGTGCCGAATGTTGGAATATTGAGACAAAATATACATAATGTCCCGGCCTGGGTAGATAAGCAATGTATTTTTTTGGAAGACATTCAACCTTGACTGTGCCAGACAGAAGCTGGAAAGCTTTAAAAAAACTGCCTGGAAGCTTTTTGAAAAACAGCATTTGGTTTGGAGAGTCTGTAATAAATTATAATTTTTTACCCTTTGAATGTGGAGGAATAAGCTAATTTTGTACACTTCAGTAATGGTTTCGAAGAATGCCTTTGGGCCTTGAAAGAGTACCTCATCTCTTTAATATTTACTAAACAATCACATTGTTTTTGGCATGCATCTGCTTAAAGATGCAGCTGCTTTAAAAAATCAACTTATTAAAATAACTCATAGCTTTGTCTTTTTTTCAGCTTAATCAGTTTTAATGATAGGAGGATGTTTTATTTACATAATGTTTAAGTGTTTCTAAAGCATACTGAAAACATGCACAGCTGTGCTGGATACATATTGTATTAGAATTGTTGATTTTCTATTAGTTTTACATACTGAAGGTTTTTAGCAGTTTTACTTTGAGTGTGCAAGCATTTTCAGGCTTCATGCAAATGTGTTGGTGGCAGCACACCCCAAACAATGATCTCAGCCAAGAAAGAGATTAAATTTGATTTAATATTAAAAATGGCAATTTATAGGGAATTTTTGGAACAGTTCTTAGAACCATTTCCAACATCTTGTGAGAGACAGATTGTACTTTTTGGCAATACCATGATGATGCACTTTTATTGTGCTTTGTACTTTCACAAAGAAGGGCTGTATAAAAAACATATTAAACGGAGGATCGATTATGACTGGTAAAGTAGCAGTTATCAAAAATTATCAGCTTCTACAGTTCATACCTAAGAATTGTACTCTAGGTGGCTGATGCTATAATTATATGAGATCATTTTGTAGAAGCTTTATATACAAATGTATGCATGAAAAAGAAAAGTGTAAATTATAGTCTTGTCATAGTATCAAATAATTATAGAGTCCAACTGAGAATAGTTCTATACTATAGGAGTGTGCATCAATTCTAGAAATCAATAATATAGGTGATCCATAATAGGGGTATTTGCAGGCCATATGTTATATTCTCCCGCTGTACAAGATTTCCCAACTCTACCTGAAATTGTTAGAAACTGTTGGAAACCCCTCTTCATGCATAATTATGGTTCTTGTTGAAATTTACATTCTAAAGGCTATCAGTAAAACTCCAGTCGCATTTTCATTTTAATAAAATTAAGCTGTAGCAGAAACAGGCCTGAACAAGTACATAAAAATGGTCCTCTCACAATGTGATCCTCTTCAGCTCTCAGCAGTGAATTGCAACCCAAGAGAATGTGATGGAAGAAGATGGATATGTGTAGAGAACCATGGAGAAAAAGCTTTGAAGGGAATACTCAGAGGTCAGTTAAGAAACAAGAGCATTCCTTAAAGCCCCAGAAAGAAGATAATGTTAGGAAAAGGTTCAAACTGATTCTTCTCTGAGTCAGAGTAAGGATAGGTAAACAGAAGCAAACTTGCAAGATACTGTAGCCCAGGGGTGTCAAACTGGTGACAGGCCACGCCTACCCCAGCTGCATGAAGGAAGAAAATGTCACGATACATCACATGACGGCAATGTAGCACCACAAGTTTGACAATTGTGCTGTAGTCTATCTCAATGAAGTATAGTTCCAGTCTTCCTATGGGGTCATCTTCATAATCTGGCTTATGTTTTGAGCTGACATATGCATTAATATGTAATAGGGTAGGGGTGCATTAGGGATGCGGTGGCTCAGTGGCACTGAGCTTGTCAATCAAAAAGTTAGCAGTTCAACGGTTCAAATCCCTACCGCTGTATAACAGAGTGGATTCCTATTATTTGTCCCAGCTTCTGCCAACCTAGCAGTTCGAAAGCACATAAAAATACAAGTAGAAAAATAGGGATCACTTTGGTGGGAAGGTAACAGCACTCCGTGTGCCTTTGGCATTTAGTCATGCCAGCCACATGACCAGGGAGACATCTTCAGACAGCGCTGCCTCTTTGGCTTAGAAACGGAGATGAGCATCGCCCTCTAGAGCTGGAAACGACTAGCATGCATGTTTTGGGGAACCTTTACCTTATGCATTAATACATAAATATGAACATATAATAAAATTCCAGAT